ATTGGCACAGAAACTGCGGCTTCGCCTCAACGAGTGTCAAACTAACCCGCGGACATGGAACAAGCAACGATGCCTCCTCCCTCCTACTTCTGCCGAAGTGCGCAAACCCGTCAGTCCTGGGCCGTACATGTCCTTCGGCAGCAGGCGAACTAGATCTTCTCTTGACCGGGCGCAACGCAAAAGCCCCCATCTAAACATATCTAGATAGTCAGGGCCGCAGACAGCAGACAAGGCCAAGTTTCGGAAGGCAACAATACCCGATTGAATCCCCGTTACTTTCTGGCAGTAACAGATGATCTTGCCTTCCCTTCACGTCTGAGGTGCCGACAGACCGGGCTCAACGATGATAACCTGTGTATGCTGGTTCTGCAACACACGCCAAACCCCAGACGAACACCACCGTGTAAGAAGGGACGCCGTGCATCAGACGGCACGACAAAGTGTGAAACTCCACCCTGCGTACACAAGTTACTCGCGAAACGTTCGGAATGCTCTTTGTCTCGTGTGCCTCCAACTGCCCACGGGTTTTCCTCCGCAGGCAACGACTGTTCAGACAAAAACCGTGGCCATGTGGACAAAAAACCGAAAGACGTCGGTGAAACTAAGTCGCATCACAGGGCGTGAAGTCGTCTCCACCCAGTCATGCGTGGTCAGCAAACGAATGACATCATGCGCTGCGACAGATTGCTTCGGTGATACCCGCTCGCAAACAGAATTTCTGCTAGATTAGAAGGGCAAGCATCTTCTGTGCCACGCCGAACGCCTGGCTTCATGTAAATGAGTCCTGCAACGACGTGCATGTGTGTGCGCGTTCCCGACATTTAGCTAGCTCCTCAGAGGTGGGCAACTCGTCTACACCAGGTGCGGTTCACAAGCATCCCCAAGCGGGGTTCCGAAATGCAAAACACCGATGGGGATGTGTATTCCCCACAGCGATGCGGGTTGAACACTCCTTTCGTGGCAAATGGCGTCAAATGGCCAGAGGTGACCGTAAAGTACCCGCAGCGACAAGGGAACACTGCGTTCGTGAAATTATAACATCTGCATCTATGCTCAGGCCTGGAAGGTGACAGTTATTGAATCGTGCGGCAGTCTTACCACACACTGGGAATCTTCAGTTCACAGATGCAAACACGTAAAATACGCTACTACTAGCCTATCCAACTTGAGGCTGCACAAGCTCCAGAATGCCTTCCCCACAAGCATATGGGTTTTGGTACTTGTACGGGTTTGTTGTTGTGCGGCGCATGACTCTAAATTCCCAGCTGCAAGTGCCCTTAACTCATGCCAGTCGAAGTCGCCGGAGCATCGCGCGCCAATGAACAGCCGGAGCTGCTCTTACTCTTCCTGGAGCCGCATCGCTGCGTTGGAAGCTGGAACCATCCTACAGTGCAACCTGTTGTCTGGCAGGCATGCACAACATGACAAAATCAAGGCAAGCAGCTCCAGCGGAGGAAAATAGTTGACGATTACCTCACGGACAGCGCCACTCGGACAGCAGTAAAGGACGACACCGCCTCTATTTCAAGCGTCGACAACACGGAAGTAAAGACAAGCAGTCAGAGGAAGCAAATTCAACTCCGCGAGTGCAGTCGAAGACCTAAACCCGATGACGGCAGTCTGCCGACGCCCCTCCTGTTCTGCAGTGCTCTCCGTTGTCGAGACGTTCCTCAACTGTCGGTACCCGACTTGGCTTAAAACCACGGACCTCCCGAGCTCAGCTGCGCGCACGCCTGGACCCCTGGAACCATAAGTGAAACAGCATGCGTATATGCATGCGCTTGCGTGTGTTCGAGCACCGCATCCCTGTTCCAACGTCACTATGTCAGAAGTACCTGCCTTCGGGGAATGTCATGCAACCTGACGTTTGAAAGGTCACAGGCACCGGCCAAACACTCCGTGTCGCTATGTGCGACACCCTACCTTCAGAACAAACATACTAGTAGGTTCTTACTGCGGTTCGCCCCACGTTTGAGGTGCAGCAGTTGCGTGGAATGTTGCGCGCAAGAGGCACCGACATGTTGCTGCATCCTGCAGTTCTGACATGTTGTTCAATCTGTTTCATCAGCTCGCTCGAAAATATGCAGGAGGGCGCAAGATCATTACGAATGCCCGGAAGTGCCATACCTGGTGCATATGTCCATCTGTCAGACGAGCAAACAAGTCCGCAAACACCCGTCGTGGACGGTCATCTTTTACAATCGAAACTACCTAGCTTCAAGCCCAAATTTACGACGTGCTGTACTCGCTCGCCTCAACGAGTGTCCGAATCCACGGCCCAGCCCTGTCTAGCGCTGTTCCAAGTTGCATCATCCTCCATGCAGCGCTGGTTGCTCTCACTCTCTGGCTTGGACTTGTCCTCGCACGACGCGATGTTCTCTCGCAAGTAAGCCAGCAACTGCTACCAGGCAATCTCCTGCAAACCGATCACAGTCAAGACTTCGGACTCGTACACGAGGGGGAAGAACGTTGATGACAACCTGGGTTGCATATTCCCAGAATCGCCCCTGGTATGGTGATTGCTCTCTGTGCCCGAGGCGTCTATCCGAGAGAGGGCTACGGCTTTCTGCACAACGCCTATTGCTTTGCGGGGTGCTTGCTGCCCCATTTCAGCAGGGATCCAGGCGAGCATCTTGAGTCTCGAGGGACATATTACGCAGACTTTGTCAAACAGCACGCGCCCCGACTAACTACGAGCATCAGCAGAGCATCCTCGGAGCATAAGAACTCATCACAAGTATGCGGGTCGTACGCGGTATGCGGCGCTCCAGACGCTCGCAAGCTTTATCGGAACCCCGCGAGCACATGCCCACACCACGGGCAAAGCTTGGCTCCCGGGCAGGTTGTAGACAATCCACGGCACAAACCTCGGTGTTTCAAGGCGTTTAGAAGCGAAGGGTCTGTCACGAGGTGCCTACCTTCATCTAGCTTCCGCAATGATAACTTATGCAGCACTGTATCAAGGCCCTGGAAGCGTGATCTTTGGGAGTCAAAGCGGCTGCAAGTTTCCACCGAAGGCCCACAATGGGGGGCTGGGAGCCCGCTGTGCCGTCGCCATCTGCCTGTAGACACGCTTCCTTAGCCAAATGAGAACATCCCCACAAGGCCACAAGACAAAATTTCACTGCATGCGGAAGCTTGTACAAGACACGACCCTTTAGTTGGCGCCACGTGCAGCTGTGTCAAACGCAGGCGAGCGGTAGCGGTTCCTGTGGCGTGCGCGGCATGCCTCTGTGCAGCGTGCATCAAAAGCACGGACGCACAGAGTATGCATGCTGTGTGAAGGCATGTGCAGTACGGGTAGGGAGCCTGCTTTATGAAGCTCTCGACGTTGGTAATGCACGACCCTGAACCCGTCTAGGTGCGTCGTCCATCTGCTCACCAGGCTCGGACAAGCTGCCCTGCGCTGCCGAATAAGCTACTCTGCGCACGGACGAGTGTCAAGTCTTCGCCTGTGCCGAGGAAGACATCCACACGGCCGAAGGTTCGCAGCGAAATGTACAGGATAAGAGCAATTCCTCGGCATGCCAAGATGTTTGTGTCCGCATCTTGCCCATCTGCAAATGCGCGGAAACAGGTGCCTGTACATCCGTAGACCACAGTGGGAGCGACCACTTCGGCGATGTTGCCTTCAGAAACAGCAGATGTCAAGCAAAGTTAACATGACATCACGGTCACTCGTGTACCGGCTTACTTGCAAGCTCCCCAAGCTCCGAACTCTGCATCTCTCAATACCGCGAGCCTGGAAGGAGGCTCAAGATAAACCGGCAGATGATGAAAAGCATAACCTTAGTGACTGCACAGCAAGCAGACCTCCCAGCTGCCGAGCTTGTGCTTCTTCATGTGTCACCCTGCACGCTAGTCTCGTCGATTCGAGGAGCAAGCGCTGACGTGCCTGCGCGGCGATGAAGCTCTGACATACAAAACCGACGACGATGTGCTGCTCGGATTGATTGCAGCCAGGCTGCCCGACACTGCGCGACCCACATCGTTGTTGAACATCCAGGATCCCAGGGCTCCAAGGGACTTGGAGAGAGCCATCTCGATGCTGTTGCTTTCCAGCTTGGAGTCACGTTCTTAAGCTTAGGCTGGCATGGCCCTAACCACGGAACCCAATAGGTGATGTCCCGACAAGCACAGGCCCCAATCGAGGCTGCTGTGAATTCACAATATGCCATCCACATGTTTTTGTTGTTGTGTGTGTTTGTACGTATATATACCTATATACATATATAAAATGTATGTATGTATGCATGTTTATGTACATACGTATATACATTTATACAGATGTATGGATATGTGCTTTTATATGTGTGGGTGAGGCATGAATGCACGTATGTATGTATGAATGTATGTTTGTATGTATGCGTGCGTGTATGTATGTGTATATGTCCATACAGACCAGACAGATGTGTAGGCCAGTGAGCTGTGATGAAGGAAGATCGTCGGAGCTGCATGCCTTGTCCCATCCAAGCAGCTTAATCTGGCTTCGTTGTCGGAACAGTCAAACGCTTGCACGAGCTATGCTGAAACTTGAGCACCTTAATTCAACACGCCGGAAATATCTGCAACAAACGGTCGGGCTCATGCTGCGACGCGTTCAGGAAGCTTGCACATACAGCCCAAGCACTGCCCGTGTTCCTGCCACTTTCTTGCCGAGGCGAGCACCGCCTTGCTGTTTGCTTGGCTGTCCATGAAGCTGATCTATCCAAACTTTTCTCGACCTTAAGACCTACCCCGTACGTTCTGATAATCCTTTCAAAACACCCCTGCCAGCAATGCTAAATGGTTGAAGTCATGCTCGTTCCGCACGACTGAAAATCTGTGGTTACAGATGGGAAGGGGGTGAACCATATCGGGTTCCTGTTCCAGCATCAGCCGCATTCGGTGGGCTAGGAGTCGGCCGGCATCCAACTTCTAGCAAGCTTAGCCGTAGCAGCAAGCTGCACTTGCAAACATAACCCTTGCCACCGGATCCAGCACTTTCCGATGTCTTGAGCTCAGAATGGCATGTTCGGCCCTCGGAGGTGCAAGCTGAAAGCATACGGCAGACAGGTAGACAATCTCGTTCATACCAAGCTGCCGAAAATCTTGCAGGTGACGCTGTGCATCTTCGGCCCACCGTCCCAGCTCCTCAGAGACCAAGCGGTGCACGACACCCACGCGAAACTCAATAATCAGCAAGGCTGCTTGTTTGTGTTCATCCAGATCGCCACCATGGACAGCAAAAGGATCGGTGGGATTGGGCCCTGCAACTCTGACAGTCACTGCAACATAACAGAGCTTAAAGAGCCGCACAGCATCGGCCATCTAAGTTTCGGCTGGCAAGGACAAAAGAGTGGGCCATGCACCAGCACGCTACCCGGCTACCCTTCACCTTGGAGACGGAGCGCCAATTCCACGGGTCCTGCAGGGAAGCTACTTGCTACTCAAGCATCAAAGCAGCTTTTTCTCAGGATCGGACTTCTGGGCTCGGCAGACCACCACCGCCGCCGCTGAAGAAGCGGGGCTTCGGCACCTGCGAAGGGCTCTCGTATGCGGTTCTTTGCACGAAGGGCTGAAGCTCTTTGCTCCACCTGTTTCTGGCGCAGTACGCCCATGTCTCCTTCCAAGCGTCCGGCCACGGCTAAGGGTAGTCGACTCTGGGGAAGCAGTCGTGCTGCGAGAAGCCTGCGAAGACAGAGTCGCTTAAAGTCACGGGCCGGCCCTGTGCAGGCGTTTTGACAAGCAGAAAACCCGAACATCCTGCCTTTGATGGAGAAGGCCCATGATGAAGTAGGCTCCTGTGAAGCCCTGCTACGCTTGAGAAGATAAACTTGCAGGCACCATTTTTCGAGTAGTTGGCTATTTGTGTCGTGCTCTCTCCTCGAGGGGAGAAAATATCTAGCCTTCTATCACACATGCTTTTACAACTGAGAAGGACGTACTTGTAAACTGACAGCGGGCCGAGAAAATGCAAGAGCTTCAACAGCTTTTTCGCAACTCAGCAACAACTCTTGGGCCTTGGTTCGTCGGCCGATCGGTTCTGAAAGGTTGGGCAAAAGGCCCGCAAGAGAACTGCAAAAGCTCAATCATATTGACATTGGCTTCGTTCTCTCCTTCTTTTGCTATCTCCTCTGATGAGAGACAGCCAGAAAAAAAACTGCCGCCCCATCATTCCCCACCAGCTGTGCGCCTTCATCTGCTTCGTAAGTATGTCTCCTAGCTGGCTACCGCTGGGCACCCAGTGGAAGGGAATGACTAGGGGGTCGTCTACGGCGGGGACATCGTCGCCCCTCTCGCGCTGCCACCAGCCGCGGGCCTCGTTCTGGAACATCTGCTTCAGGGAGGCGAGGTCAATGATGAGCCGCCGGTCTGCAGTCGGCTTCGGCGTTCCACATCGGTGCACGAAGTCGTAGAGGCTCTTGCAGTCAGTGACGGCGTGGATCGGGATGGCAACGGCAGCCTCCGGCTCTCGGACCAGCTGCCTCCGTAGCATCGTCAGCAGGCGGGCCCTCAAGTGCATGGCGCACTCGATCCCTTCACAGCATGCCATGGTCTCCCCGGCGAACGTGGAGCGGCACACTCGTCTGCAGGAGTGGGACTTCCACGTCAGCAGGCTGCACTCGCAAGGGCGGCAGCCGATCCCGTCCTTGTGGACCGCCAGCACCATGTAGCCGATCTGTGAACCGACCTTGTGTCCGACAAGGTCCTCGAGCGCCTCGTCTCCGGTCTCGGCGTTAGCCCAGGCGGCGTCGTGGAAGACCACCAGGCTCATCTTCTCCAAGGGGACCGGGGTGATCTGCACGCCGGCGCTGCGGAACTCCTTGGCCTGCTGGATCGCCTTGTTGGTCTCCTTCACGTCCTGGAGCGAGGGGCTGCCCTGGCGTGACTGTGCAAAGCTCGCGGCACACGATAGATCCGGTCGGGTCTCCTTTGCCAGCCAGCTCAGGCAACCAACGGCCGTGCGATTGTCATGAAAGAGCCTCGCGTCGACCTCCTCCTTGTTCTGGCCCTTGGGCAGCTCGATGAACTTGAGTCGCTCATCCACGTAGTCCCCTTGGGTGATCTTATACCCCAGGGCGTTCTTCTCGTAGGTGCTGCCGACGTACTTGAAGTTGTCGTCCTCCCACTCAGAGATAGGGAACGCTTCCGATAGTCGCTCCTGCACCCTTTTCCGAAGGCCCTCCTCTGTCAGGAGGAGAAGGTCGTCGACGTGTGTCTCAAGGAGGCCCCTGGTGGTGCCGCTGCGGTCGACAAGCTGGAACACGCAAGGGTCGATGAGGTCCTGTTCGAAATGGAACTCGTCCCCGTCGCCCTGCAGCTTCAGTTCGAGGATGTCCTTCACCAGCTTCTCGAACCATAGCCTCGGGCTCGTGGATAGCCCAAAGACCCCCTTAATGATCTCGATCAAGCGCCCGGCCGGCACTCCGGGAAGTCCTCGGGCTGGCTGTCTGAAGAACAACCCCCGAGGTGCCTCGACACCGTTGAGAAAGGCTGCTTGCACGTCGCCGATGCTTGCCACCCACCCCAGCGAAACTGCACACTGCACTCCCAGCATTAGGCTCTCTTTGCTGGCGGTGGGAGCGTCAACCGCTAGCGCCCGGACCCCCAGGTCGGGGTCACGGCGCCCCCCGATGCATAATCGGGCTTTCGCCCGCACCGGGACGGTGCTATCGAGAAGCCGTTGTGCTCGAGCTTTATCTTTGTAGGCGAATCTCGAGCTGAGCACGCGCTCGGCGGGAACCTCTGTGAGGACTGCGGCCGTCTCGGCTTCACTGAGCACCCTCACTGCTCCAAAGTGTAGGTGCTCGTTCCACTGCTTTGCTTCGGCCTGTTCAAAGGCCGGGCGGTCCTCGGGGTCGATTGCGCTCCAAGGCAGTTCGCTCTCAAGCTGCTTCTCGCGACTAGCCTGTGTGGCCGCGACCTTGCCGAAGTTCACCTCCCGCGCCCAGCCTTTAATCCTGCCCTGAGTGTCGTCTTCGGGGCTCGCTTCGTCGGTCCGCGCCTTCTTGTTGTTCTCCTTCACCTGGTGGGGTAGGTCGTCGAGGCACTTGCGCCGCCGATCGACGACATTGTCCCAGTCCATGTTCTCGAGCTCGATCATGCTTTCCTCTAGTGTGCTCGGCTCTGTTCCCAGAAGCTCCTTAAGGACCTCCTCGTCGTCCGTCTCTTCCGCCAGGAGCTGCTCATCGGGCCCCTCTTCGGGGGCGAAGGCCACCTTGAGAGACTTGTCCTCGTCGATGATGGCCTGCACGTCGTCCATGGAGGCCCGGACCCTGAGGAGCTCTGAAATCTCTTCGGCTTCGGCTGGGCGCAGGTGTTCTGGAGCACATAGCAGGCACCGGCCTCCTTTCGATACCCAGAGGTTTTGTCCTTCGGCGCCCACCACGGTGCAGGGGCCGATCCACATTCGGACCGGCTTCTTGTGCTTCTCGGGGCGCTTCTCCCTGTAGATGAAGACAAGGTCTCCCGGCTCATAGTGGGTCTTCTTCACCCGGCTCCGGTGGAGAAGCGCTCGCTGCACAGACTGGCTTGTCTGGACCTGAATGAAGGCGACCCTTGCTGCTTGCCTCACTGCGTTCATCCTTTGCACCCGGGCGTCCACGGTGAGGTGACTCATGGCGGCCAGGTTGTTCTCCTCATCTACCACGTCTCCGGGGATCCTCGGATTCACTCCGAAGACCCATTGTCGCGGGGAGTAGCCGTCCTTGTTGCGGAGCTGGTTCTTCGCGTTGTTCACCTCGGTCGCGGCCCACGCCACCTCGTAGTCCACGACCATAGTGCTGTCCACGACCTTCTCCCAGATGTTCTTCCAGACCCCGTTGCCAGGCCGTGCTGCCAATGGGCTGTCCCGGCCGCGTGTGACATGAAGGCCCCGAACTCATAGCACATCTCGTCAAAGACTCCTTTGAAGCCCGAGTCCAGATCGAGGGCAAAGGTTCGGGGCGCCCCGGCCCACGACACCCAATGATCACGAACTACGCCCGCCAGGGTCTTCGCAGTCCTGTCGGGCACGACAACCACCACATGGAACGTGGAGGCATAGTCTACCATGCTCAAAGCGTAGTGCGTCTTGCCCACGGCGTCCTTCAGGTGGATCACGTCTATCCCCAAAACTTCACCAAAGTCAAGAAGGGGCACCGGCTTTGCCGGCCGTGCCGACGCAGGTCTCGAGCATGACTGGCAAGTACGGCAGCGTAGCGATTTGCAGGCTTTTATTGCCTCGCTCGAGGCCCCAGACATCTTCAAGTGCCTCGCCAGGTCGCCGTTGCTGAGGTGGCCGAGGTTCTGGTGCAGCCGCCTTAGCGTGCTCTGCACCGCCGCGGGGACCCTGGGGTCGAAGCGGATGCTTGTCGCCCCGTGCTCCTTTAGCGTGGGCTCCGTGTCCGGCTCATTCCGAACCCATTCTTCGACGTCGTAGGTCTCGAGGTCGCCGACGTAGACGTTGGCTGTCCCTTTGGCTGGGCTCTTAGCGGACAGCCCCGGGATGACGGCCTTAACTAGGTCGTCCCCGAGGAAGGCCCCGGCGTGCAAGCGCTTAAGGTCGACTTCCAGGTCGTCCGTGAGCACGGCTTTCATACTCTCGATTTCCCCGGTCTTGTCGCTCTTCCGCTTGTAGTGCAACACCTGGTGTGGCCACTTGTTCTCCCACTTAAGGACGCCGGGCATCTTCCATAGGGCGCTCGCCGCGGGGTGTGTCATGACCACGGCTCGTTCGCCGAGGGCCTGCTCTTCCATAGCGCTCAGGACGGACGGCAAAGCGCTCCGTGATGCCTTCGTCCCCCTCTCTTTCCAGGCCTCCTCGGAGAGGTGTACCCACAGCAGCTCGGGACGGTCTAGGGCCACTTGCTCGAAAGTTGCCTCGGCTGCCTTCTTGTTCCAGGTCTCCTCCCTGTCGCCAAAGAAGGTGACGGCCGGTTCCCCCCGATGCCCCCCAAAGCGTCCTCGAGCTGGGCGTGGCCCCCTACGACATACACAACAGCGTCCTTGGTCTCCGGGCTGTGGTCCAGATGCTCCGCTCTGGTGCTCTCGGCCTTTCGCTTCCTTTCCCCGGCTCCGGCCGAGCGGCTGCACTCATATACTGTCTTTGCTGCCTCCAGCTGCCTCCTCAGTGCGCGGGCTTGCTTGAGGAGGCTCTGGCGGCGCGGGGGGTCCACGAGGAAAGCTCTCACATGCCCGCTGGCTTTTCGTCCCACCGTGTTCCTCTGGCTGGGGCGTCCTTCTTCTTCTTGGCTGCGTCCTCTTCCTCCAGGGCCGCAGCCGCCGCCATGAGCAGGTCCATCCGCTTTTTCAGCTCCGACAGCTCGTTCTGGATCCCCTCCTTGGTGTGCTCCTCGGGCCGTCGTCGCCTCGGGCTCGGGGACCGGTGGCCCGGAGACGAAGGCATACTCACGGGGATCCAGTCGTGGTCCTGTGACCCTGCACTCTGGCCCGCCTTGCTCCGAAAGGGGGGCGGAGGCACGGTCGCTGTCATCTCCGGATCGTCTGCAGGCAGTCCGGGTGCCTTGCGCCGTCCCTCTCGCGTCTGCTTCTTCTCCTCCCACCAGCGCGCCAGTCGGGCCAGGTCGTCGCAGCAGCTCTCGGCTGTCTTCCATTCCGCCAGGACCCACTCCAAGTAGTCCCCGGGGAGCTGCGAGTATGCCCAGCCCCTGTATCTCCCGAAGCCCACTATGGTGTCGTTCGGTGCCACCTTGCTGTCCCGGATCATCTTGGCCAGGACCCCCTTCGTCGGCTTCTCGGGGAGGATGATTCCACAGCGGCGGGCCTCGTTGACCAGCTGCTCCAGGGTCATCTTGGAGAGCCCCTTTGGTGCTTCTTGTTCCCCGGCTCGTGCTTGGCGCTGCTCTTTGAGCATCTCCCGAACTTCGTTGATGCCCCAGCTCGGGTGGGGCGTGATCTGGTACTCCTGGAGCTCCTCCACCATGCTGGTCTTGGACATAGACCATAGCGCGGGACGCGACATTCACCTTCACGGTGTCGGCTGCGGCAGGCGCTGGGGCGGGTTGCTTCCGAAAGGTGCTTCGGCCGATCCACAATGCATGCGGTTCCGTCTTGGCTTCCGGCTGCTTCCAGCTACGCATGGTCTTGCATACCAGCTGTGGCCCTCGACATGGGATTCTCTCTTCCACCGACTCAGGGCCCAGCGCAAGGAGGAGCTGTGTCTTGAGGTGCTGTTGTTCTGTGTTCCAACCTTGGGGGGAAAACGGAAATTTTCTAGGGACCACGTGCACCCGGATCAGGAGGTTCCCCCGCTCAATCCAGAAATCTTTTTGCAGGTTGCTTCCCTTCCACCACCCAAGGAAGGTCTCCGCGCTCAGCTCCTCTCCCGCCAACATATCCTCCACGGTCGGCGGCAAACGCTTAGCGTAGAAAAGCTTATCGCTCCTCTCCCTCCTCTCTGTGGCTTCGGCCATGTATGCACTCGCGGGCTCGCTGTACCAGACTCCTTCGGCAGGGGCCTCGCTTTTCACGAGCCTCCAATCAAAAGACGGAGGGTCCCCGACTTCGTCGGGAAAGACTTCCACGGCTGGGTGCCCGCCCTCTGCGTTCACGATGGGAACCCCTCGCACCTTGAGCGCGCCGAAGTCCACGCTCTCGTGCCCCAAGTCAATCTTCACGTCTAGCTTCTTCATGGCCGGCCGCCCCATGAGGAAGGGCACGTCGCAGGGCACCACGGAGGTCTTCATTGCCACCCACCGGTGTCCCACGCACACTGGGATCCAAGCCGCGAAGTCGGCTTTGTAAATCCTGGAGGCCCCGAACTTAAAGCTTTCCCCGTCATCGGCAAAGTCGTAGGTGATGCTCCTCTCGTCGGCTTTCTGCATGTACCGCTCGAACCAGGGGTAACCCACCACCGTGCTCGCACAGCCTGTGTCGATGATGGCCACCAGCTCGTTCCCCTTGGGCTTTGCGGCCATGTGCACCTCCACGACGTGTACGGTGACGGGCTGCGCGAAGTGCGTTGTCTTGGCGGCGGCCCCCTTCTGCAAAGGACACTCAGGGTCCCGATGCCAATGGCCTTTCTTCTTGCAGGCGCTGCAGTAGCTTCGCTCCTTTGCCAGCTTAAGGCGCGCCGCCGCCTTCTCCTTGCTCTGGGCGTCGTTGTAGCCTCTGCCGCGCACTGCTTCTTCGTACTTCGATTTCGCGCTTTGGTGCGCGAGGAAAGCGCTGTGAAGTTCCTGCGCTATCTCTTCGCTGACCACGCAGGCTTCATCATCCTGGTCGGCGGCCTGGCCTAGGTCGTCCTCGCTGTCCTCCTCGTGCTCGCTGTCGGCCGCTGCCAGGTGCACGCCCCTCGTCTTGGATCCCCGGCTGGCTTTGGACTCCTCCCAAGGCTTCCTTGCCGGCCTGTCGTGGATCAAGGCTGCCTCCTGTAAAGCCTTGAGGCGGAACTCGTTGCGGACCGAGGCCAGGAGCGAGATCTCCCCGGTCTCGTCCAAGCGCAGCTTGTCTATGAACATCCAAGCCAGCACCGTCTCGGGCAGAGTCACCTGCACTTCGGCCAGCCGAGAAACCATCCTGTCGAAATCTCCCGTGAAGCTTCTCACACTCTGGTCGTTGCTGCGCTTAAGTACTCGAAAGAACTGGCTCATGATCCTGCCGACCTGCGTCACCTCGATGTCCATGAACCTTTCGCGGACCCAGGCCTTGAAGTACGAGACCCCAGTCTCGCAACTCAGCTGGTCCAGCTCGAGGGCTTCGGCCTCCACCCAAGCTCGGTCCTTGAGGGCAGAGTACAAAGCCACGCCACGGTGATGCTCGGGGAGCCTGGTAACACGCTCCCACGCTTCCACTTTGCGCAAGAAGGAGCGCGCAGCGCTTCCTATCTCCCCTTCTTCCCCGGAGTGCCCCGAGAAAGAAGGAACTGGGATCTTCTCACTCGGCTTGTCGCTGTAGTCCCCGGCACCGCTGCCTAAACCCATTGCCCCACTACTCCTCCTTCTCTGCTCCAGCGCGCGGGCCCACGGATCTTGTTCACCTTGCGGCTGATCGTGCCATCGGGCGCCTCCTTGATCGTGTCCTCGGGGGCCGCGTCGGGATCCTCCATGTCCTTCAGGTAGCCATCGCTGCCCCCAGTGCTCCTTGGCGCCACTCTCGCTGCTTCCCGAGCGGCCGCTATTTCGCTCAGAGCGCCAATCCTCGGATTCGCGCCTCTCGGTCCTTCTCAGAAGATACTCCCAAATTGCTTCTTGGAACCAACCCTGTCGAGCCCATTCGGCGGCTCTCTGTGACCACCAAGGAACATCCTTCGCGGCATCTCCTTCTGTTTCTCCAGGCGCAGGTTCCTGCGCTTCCGCCGTCTCCGAAATGAGACCAAGGTCCTGCGTCGGCAGGGCGTTTGCATCCGCAAAGCTTTGCCATCGGTCGTCGTCCATGGCACGCAGAGAAAGAAGAGCCCGGGCTCCGCTGCCAATGTAAACTGACAGCGGGCCGAGAAAATGCAAGAGCTTCAACAGCTTTTTCGCAACTCAGCAACAACTCTTGGGCCTTGGTTCGTCGGCCGATCGGTTCTGAAAGGTTGGGCAAAAGGCCCGCAAGAGAACTGCAAAAGCTCAATCATATTGACAGTACTGATGCGCACTTCTTGCGTGAGCAACTGCGCGAGCTTCAGCTGAAGCATGCCAGCAAATCAGCGGAGACATGGATTTGGGGGAGACGAGGACGAAGAACTCTCGGATCTGTCGTCCAAAAGTTTATCCACGGAGAGCATCACAAGTGATGATTGCCATGTTGTCGGTACCTGATACCCACAGTTTGGATCCAGCCTGCCATAGTATGCAGCAGTGCAGCAATCGACGGGAAGCAGCCGCATTTTGTTCTTACCACCACAGCAAGCGCAAGTGGCAAGATTCTAAAAACTGCGCAAAGGCGCCCTGCTACGACACTACTGTCGTGTCCTCGTCGTTTCCAGCTCATGGGTGCACGCTGCAGGGCATAAGAACCATCTCGTCAAACTGAACAGTCCGCTCGGGGCCAGCGGCAAGTGCGACCCAGCACCCCCGCCGCGGCGCCCGACAAGTGCAGCTGCCCCATGAGACACAAGGAGGACAAGCAAGCCATGCCACCGATCGAGGAAGACCATGGATGGAACGTGACCTGACATCGCTGGAAGGTGAGCTGTTCATGGTCGTTCCCTTGCGCCAGGGACCGTTGCTTGTGCTATCAGCTGCAGTGCACACGGAAAGGATTGGCTGCGCACAGCTAAACCTGCTCCCTATCCACATTCCCAGGAACTTGCTCAGCGACTGCTCCTGCCCCAACAAGGGTTAAGAGCTCTTCGAACAGTGGCTTCTAGATTCATGGTTGGCCTACTCCGAACGAGGGTTGCTGCAGCATGGATGCCTTTCCGGTAGCTATTGAGAAAAAATTCACTGGCTGAAGCCACGTTAGAAGCGAGCCCTAAAGAAGATGCCCAGCAAATGCTTGCAACTTGCGAATTCTTCTCGCTTCGCTTCTCACCGTGGCTTCACTTGCATGCTCTTTGGCGGTGGAAACTACATCAAGCAGGCAGCAAAGGTCCAAGTATGTCGAGACTCCGTTCTAGCTTCTCAGCACTCCTTCACTGCCATGCCTTCTGATGTAGAAGGTGACTATAGGTCCAGGTGACCGAGGCACAGGAGAGAAGCCGAGGTCTCTGGATATCGCCCACCTGGAGCCTAAAGGGCCTAAAGCCTCCGTGCCTGGGCTCCCTTAAAGGATATCCCAAAATTCAAGGATGCAGGATGATGCAGGCCTGACCTGACTCCTTTTTCCTTTCTCCACGAACTATGTCTCTGCTGTCTAGCAGAGTCTAGCTTGCCAGCTTGTGATGTTGTGCAAAGGCGGATCTGACAGGAAAGCTTCCGCATGCGCACAGTTCAGAGCGCTCCCCAGTGGCGGAAAAAGGAGTTGTCATCACAACCCACTATCTAGTGGCCTTGCCCGCGCAAGATTCGGAATGTCGTCCTGGCTCGCTGCTCATGAGTGGTCCACAGAAGGTACCAGGTCCGCACTGCTTCTATGCATTGAGCGAAGAGAACGATGCTGAAAGCTTTTCATGTTTTGCATCTTGAGGCAGCGAACTTAAACATTTGGCGCACGCAGACTCCACCAGAGCCCGCTTCACTCCGTGATGTGTCTGGTATCAATTAGTCAGAGTGTCGTTGGGGGGTTGTCTGATCATTCATCATCTCTGCATGTACCGATCTGTGTCTGTAGAATCTGCGCTGGAGAACTTCAAAGGAAAATTGCACCTGGCCCACTGGATTGTTTTCTTTTCTGTTGCAGTGTGATGAGTTTTGTAAGGTTACTCCATGTTGCCAAGCCTGTCTCTCTCAACAATCCAGGCCCGGCTAAGCTTTGCTGGTCAGGGCATATTGCAGCTTTTTCCGTCGAGGTCAGGGAACGTCAGAACCCCTTGGCAGCATCACGATTCGATGCCAGGCCGACTCCCGAAAAAAGCATTTGGAGTTTGCTAAGGCAGGTGCAATCCTTGGAGCTGGAACTCATGGACGGAACTGGCTGAAGATCCACCTGCAAGCACGGCAGTGCAGAGGGAACACCCATCCCAGACAACCACTCCATCACCCCAAGTGAAGCCAAGGTGGCCCGATGGGCTTGCCTCCTGCTACGGGTACGAGCCTGGCGCCAAAGGACCTGTGCCAAATCTGATTCCAAAGAGACCCTGTGCTCCGTGCCCTGAGTGGCCAGACAGCGGGTCGGAGGCTGCTCGAAGCACCGGCGAAGTGGACAAGGCTGGGCTGCTGGAGGCCTCGAGCACCCAAGCGCCCAAGGAGCTGCCTTTTTGGCGGGGGATTCTCCACTCGTCGTCCGCGCTGAGCCAGTAACGAGAAACTCCGAGCTTTGCTCCAGGAGTCGAACCTCTTCGATACACAGGGCATTGCAAGGGCGAGCGAAACGTAGGTGGTCTTCCTCACTGAATTTGCGAACCCCCGCGATGCATGCTACAAGAATAGGTCCACGACCGCATCATCTGGCTGATCCAACAGGGACACCAGCACCTATCGTCGGTCATCCGTCAAACGAAGAAGCTTTGCAATGTCAAGCTCATGCTCAGCTCAGCTAATGCGTGCCTGTATGGGCAGCTGCTCCAGGTCTTGCTGCAGCCTTTGCGACCTTGGTCTTGGTGACCCGGGAGCTGCGACCCGAACTGCCAAGCCAAAACTGGACCTGAACGGCTTGTACGGCGCCGAATGTCGGACTTGGCCTCAAGTTCCTGAGCTCCCGACGCTTCGAAGCCCTGAGCTGAAGTCATCATATTGGCCTCAGCTTCGCGATATGCGCAATACTCCAGCTTTGCCAAGATTGCTACCCGAAAAAGGGAATGATAGCACTTCCTCGAACCTCCACGGAAAACAGCGAGGGGAGCTCATAGCGAGTCCCTGGTTGACTCTTGCCGTGCGATGACATAGGCGTTGAATTGTCAACGGAGCTTGTCTTCAGGCATCAGTAGCAGCATTTCTAATTCAAGCTGTGTGCTCGAGCATTATTCATGCACCGCTTGTCAGGCCGGAACCTGCGTGTTTTATATGACATGTCTTTCTGTTTAGCTAAGACCTGGGTCGCAGAATTGCCTGAGGCATCAGACCTTGGCAAGTTGTACCAGCCAGCTCTGCGGGTACACCTCAAGCCAGTATCAGTGCATGCTGATGCCTTCTTCCTCGACGCTCTTTGTCTTGGTCTCCAGCAAAGCGCCAGTCTTCGATCTCCTCGAAGAAGGGATGTTCCTTAAGTGTGGCCACTGTCCTTGGAAAGCACATCAGCATCAGCTAGCCGAAGATTTCGGCTGAGCAACTATAGCCACGATAGAACACGGCCGGACCCTGTTTGGATCTGTTTCGTCTAGTCGCAGCATGTCGTGGCGTTTCCTTCTTCGCTGTACCGTTCGAAATGACCTTGCGAGCCGAGGCCGCTGCCCACGTCGCTCTGGCACCTGTTCTTTCGCAAAACAGAGCGAAGAAAAGCAACCCTCCCCGTCTCCGTCACCCTCCCCAGGGACCCCTCTTCGCCGCCCTCTTCCAGACTCCCAGATCGGAGACCCGGGGACCTCCTCGGTGAGGGCGCGCACCAGGTCGAGAGCGAGGTCCCAGCGCCGCCGCTCTTCCTCGGTGCCGATTCCAACACGAGACATCCCTGGCATCAGGCAACGGGCCTCGCTTCCTTGGCACGCACTTTCCGGAAACCTGCCAAGTCAAAAGCACTTTCTTCAAGTAAAGCGTAAAGTGCTAACATCAGGTTTTGGTAGGAAGCACCACAGCATCAATGCGTGGACTAGCAAAGGTAAGCCAGCACGACTTCGTAGGATACGCTGCACTGGGCTGTGATCCCTCGGCTCCTGACACAGGTTGGGATGTTTGAGAATCGATTAGAACTGACATGCAACATGTTGGTTCACTCAGCCAAACGCTGTCATGGGTGCTAAGACGCCACTTAGAGCTGCCAAGGGTTCTGGGCCTCGCCGGGCCCAGTCGAAGGAGTTCGGCGGCCGCGCGGGACGCGGCCCGCGGCGCCCGGCACGAGGTCCTGGCTGCGGGATTAGGAGAGGTTTAGATCCCTGGGTCCATGACAGGTCCATGCGCCTCGTGAGGTAATCACTACGTCACCGTGGAGGTCGATCTCGACACGGTGAGCGGCCCCTTGCCAGGAACATCTGCTGCAATGCGCAGGGGGAACTTCCATTCTGCGGGCCTGCTAATCTGTTGGGCTCCATATCATCAAGTCTGAAAGTAGGGAAACTGAAAACCAGAAAAACTTTTCTGAGGACATGGCTGGCGGGCTGGAGGAAATGGTGCGAGGCCCAGTAAAAATCAAAGTTCAAACCTTGGTCGGATGCTTCTGTGTCGGAGCCCACTCTGCACACCTTCTCAATAACAAGTTGGTATGCTTCACGGCAGAGAACAGCATGCTTGCGCACAAGGCGAATGCTTTCATGGCAGACTTCAGCTAGTTCCCACGAAGCTGGCGGCCGCTGCAGGCTCCAACGAACTGCACTCTCGGGCTCCTGCGTCCTAGAATGTCACGGAGGTCTTTCAGTGACTCAGGCGGAAGCCTGGAAAAGATCGCACCAGACACTGTCGTTTTCCTGCAAGTCCCTGGGGTGGTTCCAAGATGGGCTTTCTTTCGCTGGCCTCTTTTCAAAAGGTGCTTCCCTGACGTCGTGGTAGACCTGCACAGCCGAGATATGGTTCGACAGTTCGACAACGCTGAGCTCTGGCCTTTTGACAAACAAGGCCAAGAACACGAATGTACAACATGTCACGCAGTGACTTGCCACCTGCCTCTCCGCCAGTTAACATCATAACAAGGAGGACGCCAAAGGCATAGAGATCGGCTGCAAAGCCATGCATCTGCCAGGCGAGGTGGGAGTGTTGATCATGCCGACCCCTGCTGCCATACTAATCACAATGCACTTTCGGCTCGTCTCTGCTGGCAGACCGTGATGCCTTCCCACAATAATTTTGTGAAGGTCCGCTGCCTGTCTCTTTGGATTGACTTCTGGCGCGGCATAGCCGTAGGAACCGCAGAAGGTCTTTGTGAAATTAGCATAGGCCTCAGGACGCGGGGCACGGTGCAGCGGCCTGAGAACCCGCTACGCCTACTCTAAGGAAGCCCGGTGGGCGCTGCCACTCTAAGTGACAGACGCCGCCATAAGACTGTGCCTTGCACCAGAACCGATTTCCAAGATCCACTAGTGACGGGATGATGTCTGTTCGGCCTCTGCAATGGCATCTCGACCTCCGCGATACTGCCTTGCAACTTGCGGCTTGTCGAGTTGCATCAGAATGCATCGTTTTTCATAGAGTGTTGTTTGAAGGCTTGCGTTTCGATGGGGATGCTTTCGCACGCAGCAACAGATGCAGTCGAGACGCTTAGCCAAGCCAAAGTCTGTCAGCTTGGCAGTGCCTCGTTTATTGACCGTACGAGGGAGACATGACACGTACACCTGCAAAACTGCAGCACGCGCAATGGTGATGTTTGATCCGTGGGCAACTCAGAGAGGCCGTACAAGAAGCGTTTCAATCGCTTGCTTGCAGGTTCCTAATGCAAAGGAAACCCTGAAAAATGAAACGGTAAAGACTCATTCACATGCAGGGCAGACCGTCTTTGTCCAGGACGACGTTCTCCAACCTGGTGCATGGAGAAAGCTGATATAGACTTTCGACACAAATGAAAACCAATGCCTGTGAACTGGGATCGAGGCTTTAGGTCTCGAAACACAATGCCGCGGCTGTGGAGATGCTCCAGCGCCAAGGTCACCTATCTCAGACATCATCAGACCCTCTCACAGAGCCTCCGGCCGAAAACATTCTACAGATGCAGAGCAGGCTAGGCGGCTAGGCAACGTGGCAGATGCAAAACACTTCAAAACTCTTCATCATCTCCGTTGCTCTTCGGCACAGTGCCGGTAGGGCAACGTCCAGGCAAAGCACGAGTTGCTCCGTTCGCAGCAAAGCGTTGGCTCCATCAGGACGTTGCTTCTGCGATGCATGCGCAATGCTTGTCCTCGTGGGTCGTGTCCGACAGATCATTCACTCCGCATATTTGCGGATATGAATGAGCATGCGGACATCTGAAGTGACAGCGCTGCTGCTTGCCTTGGAACGCTTGTCGTCACGTTTTCTGCTTCTGCAACACAACATCCATTCTGCAAGTGCGTGTTTGGGAGAAACCTCGTGGAATCCATGCCGTGTAGTTGATGTTGCCACTAAAGGCTGTTTGCCGCGCACTTGCGCATGCAAATGCTTCTTCCGGAGCAGAGTGCGAAACGGACAGTGGGCCCTGAGGTGCTAGGTTGCATCTGTCCCACTGCCACTTTCGACGCAGTTTCCTCTCCAGGCCTCAGCAGAAACCTTGGCACAAGCCGTTTTCTTGCTTCTCTTTGCGGGGACCAGCTGTCTCTTGGTTTGCATGAGCCTTTGCACTGTCCTCTGAGGGACAGGCAAAGTCTACACACTGCTGCCAGAGCTCCAGGCCACTGCAGAGCTGCTATGTTTGGACAGTGGTGAGCTGTTTCAGACATTGCGAAGGAGTTGTAGCAATGCGATCATGTTCCTTGTCAGAATGGGAACAGAAAGCCCGCGCACCTCGGCAGCTATCTTTAAGATTCGCTGCAGCGGCAAGCCTGGACAGCCCTCCGTCCTTGGCATGAGTCACAATGATTGCCAAGTGCTGTTGTTGCCTGTACATGAAGGCTTTTGGAGGAGTAACACTGAAGCCGAGAACTCACCTCAGGCTGGGGCAGCAGTGCTTGCTGCAGATCACCCCCCGAGCAGTACTCCATGATCATGGCCCACTGACACGTGTAAGTGCATCCATGCAGGCACAGCTGCGGAAACAGAAGTTTGTGAGAGGCCCAAAGTAGAATCATGTCTATGTGCTCCTGATTCCATGCTAAAGCAGCCGTGTCCCAAGTGCACCTCGGTTGTGTTCTCAAGAGCATGGATCAGGCGAACCACGAAGGGATGCTCCTGAAAGAGACTTCTGACTTCCGACTGCTCCAGTGTTTTGCACGATTGGTCGCTGCTCAGTCAGTCTGGGTCGCCTGTGCCAAATTCAGCGTGGCAATCTCCCTCAATGCCTGGCAGCCACATCTTCCCGGCCAAGCAGGAGTAAGTGCATTCAAACGAACTGAGATAAGCCTTGCAGACTGACACGATCAAGCGACGGTGCCAGGTGTAGCAAGCAGCATGATGCCCGAGCGACTGCCATTCATGCGCCTTGTCTGTCATCTGCTTGCGGGCATAGAACTCTTTGGACAGACGCTTCACGGCAAAAGTCTGTCCAGCGAGGCGCACCAGTGTTGCTCTTGTGTTACAGTAGGCAGAGTATTGTCACCATGCTTCGAGGGCAAACGAAAATAGCACTTTACTTCTGCTGCACTGGTGTCAAGCATGTGCAACTGATCATCCCAGCAACCGCCAGCTGCCTGTTGCGTGGCCCGATCCCTGACCTGTCCGGTGCGAAACGATGAACCGGCTTCTCAACAGTCGCGCAGGTGCCGTCGGAGTTTTATGTGTCACGCTAGACAAGGTCACGGGATCTGTTTTACTTCGCACTATTAAAATTACCATTGATGCGACCCTGCCCCATCTGCTTGATTTATTTTGACGGCGCAGTACTCCCGATTGGTTATGCGCCTGAAAGACCTTGCCGAACTCACCGTATCCAATGAGGGCAATGGTGTCAAAGTCCTCACAGGATGCACGACCGTTCTGACCGTTCAGGGCACGCCGTGCTTTGAAAGTCGACTGACATTCTCCTCCAATCGCGGTGGCCGCGCCGACGGCCCGGAACTTGAGGAACTGGCCTGAAGAGAAGCTGACGGAACACGGTCCATGTCGCTGTGAACAGCTTTCTGCTATTGATGCTTCTTGGGTGAGTTAGCAAGCTCGGCATGCGCCAGCCAGACCTGGCTCCTGAGAACAGTTGAGTTCCATGCCGGCGTTGGGACCGAGCTACAGAAGGGCAGAGCCAGTGGTGCCTCAGCATTCCAAAGTTTCCGGAAGCGATCCCTTTGGTGCTATCGATCCACCGAAAGTGGACAGTCTCGCAAGCGTCTCAGCCTCAGACACGCTCCACTGCCGCACCAAGCAGGAGCTGCGACAAGCCTACTGCCGGGGGCCAGAAGTCCTTCAAACAAGCAGATCAGGCATGGAGGCTGCTTTATCCTGGCGAACTGCAGCACCTTCTCGCTCATGACCTCGACATCGGGCATCGCAGCACCACCTCAATGAAGCCACTGGTACGATTCATCCAGCTTGCCTGCAAGCACCTGTAGCAATCGCACCGAGATGTCCTCCGCAAGTCCGGGGCTCGTGCGCCGAATCGACACGCCCTTAGACCCGTGCCACGCTCTACGGCACGCTATACTACCATACCATGGTTGAGCTGCAGCAGAGGAAGTCTTTGCCGAGTTGCAGAGGATGGCAACTCAACTGGGCGCTGCTGAAGTAACGGCACCTCGGGGCAGTCAATACAATCAGGTGGCTTATCAGCGTAACTTATCAGATGAAGACAGCATAGGTGTATAGCGAAGTCTTACAACGTCGCCGAAATTCATGGTGATTAAGTCAACTCAAAGGCGTTGGCCACAAGCTGGGGGTCTGATGGAAGCCAGCAGCTACACCACCTGAATCAATCGCACGCGATGGGTGGGAAGATCAGAATCGTTGGATTTGCGCGTGCTACAACTGATGGCAGCATCGGGCCCTGCAAGACACTGTGAAAGACTGTCGACGGCATCGTCGCTTCAAGGCGAGCAGTGTTGGATCTGTCTGGATTGGCAGACCGAACTGATGTCCGCCCCCACATGCCTGATAACCATGCAAAGGTAGTGCACGAGTATACAGGTCGCCCATGGGGCGGACCAAGTCCTTGCCAAACGCCACCAAGAATCCGCCCATGAGCAATCTCAACAGTCTTGCAAACATGGCAACCATGCCTCTGGTATAGTGCTTGCAGCGTGCTCACGAAGTGCACAGTGCGCGGATCCTGAGCAAAGAAGCGGCTCAAGCCGAGGTCACTGCTGAAATAAAATGTGGAGGCTGTGCCTCTGCGAAGAAAGCAATCAAGGTACGGCTGACAACCTCTTATTGGGGAACTGCGCCTTTCCGCAACCGAATGGAGAAAAAACATCCCTACACACCCCGTGCAGTGCATGTGATGTCGCCAGGTTCCCGAAGCAGTCTTGCGCATTGCAGGTACCGCGCGAGGCCCGGACCACTATCCAGCTGTCTACATCATGACGATGCTTGTGATGCCGCACATCCAAGGTTTCCGCCTGCCACGGAAACTCTGCACGAAAGCGCTCCGAGACCTCCTGAGCTCGCCTCTATGAGATAGGCGGCGGTGGCCAAACCCACGGCGGCCGACAACTGCACAGACAAAAGACACCGAAGCTGAGCCACACCTCACACAGCACAAAGCCAGACCATGGTCATGCCTCCAAAGCACGAAGGCCACAGAGAAGGCTCGAGGCATTCTGTGCTGCGGCGAAGTGCCTGAATCCGGTGGCATCAGACTTTCGGACGACTTTGGTCGAAGATTCGGATTCTCTCTGATGTTAAGTCTGCAGGAGACCCTTTTATCACGCCCACAGGCTAGGGAGAGGGCTTCGGGGAGTCCACGAATTGCGGCAAGTTGGAGAAGAGCAGCGGCCTGAGCGACACGGCTTCGAGTCCTCTTCGTCGAACGACTCTGACTCTAACCAGCCCCTGACCATGCGACCACCAGCGCAGCTGTGACAATATGCACCTGCATCGCATGCTGTTCGTGGCTGCATGTGGGATTTGCAGCACCCTGGCTTCGTTAAGTGCTGCTGGGACGAGACTCGCCTGCGGGCAAGAGCCAGAGGGCCAAGAGCTTCCGATCAGGACAACTGCATTGAGAAGGTAAACCGCTGCCAGGTACCTAGCACGCGAGTACTGCTGCACGCGAGGGCCGGCATCGAGTGTTGTACTCGAGCTGCTCGACATGCTTTCGGGTCTGCGTTTCTGCAGTGGATAGGATCTCATATGATCTACGCACCTCCATGCAAATCACAACCTGTTCAAGGGAACCGTTCGATTGGCTGATCGATAGGTTGCAGTGCAAGGTTGTTGAACACTGCTTGTCGCTCGGGTCGTGCCACTGCTGGTTTTCTGCAAGCTATGGGTCCTTGATGGTCCTTGTGAAGAAGTCTGCTGCATCGGCGCTATTGAATGGCAAGCAGTGTGGTGGCATTGCCTAGCTTATAAACCAGAAGTTGGGCCTTGGAGCTTCGTCAATCGAGCTGCCCGATGCCACCCATCGCTTGACCGGATGGTTCTTGCCGTCACTCATTTGAAACGATCGCAGCAGGTGGTGGCAGTGGTGACGGTCGTGGCGGGGTGGCGGTGGGGGTGGTGCGGGTGGTGGCAGAGGTGGCGGTGGTCGGGTCGTGGTGGTCGTGGCGGTCGTGCTGATCGTGGTGGTCGTGGTGTTTGTGGCGGTCGTGGTGGTCGTGGAGGATCGTGGTAAGAGTCGTCATCGCGGTCGTGGTCGCGATCATGGTCTCTCGTCGTGATCGCTGTGGTCACTGTCGTCGCAGCAGTAGTAGTAGCAGTAGAGTAGCAACAAGTAGCAGTAGCAAACCATCGCGCATTTCGCAGCAGCTACGGAGGTCTGACTATCACTGGAATGAAGCGCTCTCTCACCTGTTTTATATCTCTTCTTGCAACATACCTGACGGCTTCGCATGCATTCAATGGAACTGCCACACACTGTGAGAAGCATCCTGGCACCGCACCCGGCAAAGTAAAGCAGCGGCAGCGTGAAGGACAGCGCCACCACCACAGCACACTTTGCAACTACCTGGAGTCTTGCCCAGAGTGCAAATTTCCAACAATGCGAGACTGAAGCTGCACAGGCCACTTGGGCTGGTGTTAGCGGCGAAACACGACACAGTATGGTACTCCTTTCAGGCCTCGTGCTATGCAGCACTTGCACTCAGATGCATCTGCAAGGATCACAGTATCGTCATGATCCCAGGCCTCACAGCCGCGATAGGCGACATGGGCCATGAAGACACTGAGGCACAGCCCTGCCATGATCACATCAATTTCCCAAAATTCCAATGTACAAATTTCCGGGAACACTCTCGTCCCGAGCACGTGAGCTTTCTGGAATCGTGAAGTCTTGACAATATCAGTAGACACACCGCGAAGACTGGTCGTCATCCTCTGCGGACTGGAGCCGTCGCCAAGTTTTTGAATGCCGAAACGGGCTTGCTGCACGTCGGGTTTTGGGAGCGCTGGTTCCGTACCTGCGCAGCTTCCAGGTGTCCGCAACCCTGGTGAAACCTTCTTTACCTTCCTGCTGCTTCATCGTATTAAAGAAGCAACTGAATCCACTGCAGCTGAGCTCGCCACAGAGCTCGAGATAGCTTCAAAGACACGGTGCTGTCTACCAAGACCTTCGTGAATCTAGCTGAATCTAAGTCTTCAGTCAAGAGCATCTCCAGTCAATGTAATGCTGCAGCGCCGCGGTACACCCCTCCCCTGCACGTCCAAGGACTGAACGAGTCCAATGGCCACCATCCCCAGTGACGAGAAGAGCACAGCTACCAGAAGTGCCTCGGAGAAATTGCTGCTCTGATTCTTCCGGCAGCTACGTCGGGACCCGAGAAAGTCTGCTGAGCACATGGCCTCCAGGGCTTGGGCATTCAGAACACGAATCTGGCCTCACAGATTGAAACCCTGATGCGGCTTCTTCGCTCTCTTGCTCCGAGCCTAAGGTGCAGCACAGCCGAAGGTGAAGCGAGGCGAGGAAGAAGGCCAGGCCCTGAGGCACATGAGCATAGACTATCCCGCTTGCCGCTAGCGCTCTAGCCTCTGCTTGACCCCTAAGAGCCCAAAACAGCTTCAAGAAAACGACTGCAAAATGTGCGCCATGATGGGGGATCAGAAGTCGAGAGCTCCATGTCGTGCGGAACCGGCTACACCAAGAATCACCAGAATGTAGCAGCTTAACAGCCTGACAAGCTTTACAGCAAGCGCGCCTCAAGAATTGCATCTAACGGCACGGCTCGAAGCGGAAGCCTCTTTCCCTGGTCCTGTGGGTTCACACCAGTACAGACACTGCAAGAACTAGAAAGCCGGAGCCCTCTCGGCACTCCATGCCTTCGAAGCTTCGATGGGTCTCGTCCCTTGTATAGATCTTGTACATTCACTATCCAACTCTGCAAAGCCTGTCATGCCACGTGAACCAAAGGCTCTGCAATCGCTAGTTCGCGCATCGTACTGACCATCTCTAGCAACAATTCCAAGATCTTTGCGGGTGTCCTGCTTGTACCACCAAGCAAAGAGCGAGTCTATGACGTGCAGCACCTACCACACAAAATGCCATGGCACAATGGCTATGCCACGACAGGACCGAGACTGTTCGGCTTGCCCCTGTACCTGAAAGAGTGGCGTGGCCAAGCCGAAAAGCGACAGAACTGCCGCGCCGGCCCGCGGAACCTGGCGACCCAGCACTGGACTGGCAGAAAAGGCCCACCTCACATGGACCTCTCACTTTTTGAAAATGGGCCTGGGCTCCATCTACGATGCTGAGCGTCACACCATGGTCAAACCCGAGAAAAACGCGAACGCTTTCCGGACCCCGGCCAGCAAATGAACCTCAGCTCACGCTCAACTGGCCGGATTCTTACTCCACACCTTACCTATGGGCTTGTTGCCCGTCGATCTACCGGCAAGTCTGCATGCCCTCGTCCGGAGTGCAGGCAACTAAGCTCGCTGCCGCAGCGAGAACATCAAAGTGCCTTCTCAGGCCTTCCTCACGCCAGAGACAGACCTGCCATCAAACGGAGCACAGTTGCCAAGCACCTTTAGTTGCCAAGCACCTGAATCGATCGCCACCGAGTTTGGTTGGAACAATTTGGTGTGTGTATCGAAGGATCAGTAGCGGGCCTAATTATCCGTCAAAGCTCTGCAAAGCAACTTCTTCGACCCATTCCCATGACGCTCGCGCCAGCAGCAGGATCTTGGCAGAATAGTCGACCTCGTAATTTCCCAGAGGGGGGGGGGAAATCTACGAGCACAGCACAGGTAACCTCAAGCTTGCAAAGTGTACGAACAGTCTGTTCATCCCTCTTACTCACGCAAATTCGCTGGCCCTGCTTTTGGTGACCAAAAAGATGCTAGCCTTACTTTCAACCTTGCTTTATGCTGGGGTGTCGACCATTTGACAGGCCAGAAACAGCAGAGCTAAGGCCATGCCGGCCTGGCACATATGCTGCCCGCAAAGTTTAGCTCGGGTTCCAGCACTGCTAAGATTGCAAGCATTCGCGTAAATGCGTTCATGCCATTGGTCTACACACACAGGTATACGGTATACATGTACATGTATACATATATCGAGCGAAAACATATACGCACATCATGTTTGTGCGCATACAACGATCCATCTATCTACCTATCTAGCTATCTATCTATCTATCTTTATGCAGAGGCAAGTAAGTAGGTAGGTAGGTAGGTAGGTAGGTAGGTAGGTAGGTAGGTAGGTAGCTAGGTAGGTAGCTAGGTAGGTAGCTAGGTAGGTAGCTAGGTAGCTAGGTAGGTAGGTAGGTAGGTAGGTAGGTAGGTAGGTAGGTAGCTAGCTAGCTAGCTAGCTAGCTAGCTAGCTAGCTAGCTAGTTAGGTAGGTAGGTAGTTAGGCAGGCAGGCAGGTAGGTAGGTAGGTAGGTGGGGTACGTAGGTATGAACCCATGTGTGTATGTGTATACATATAAGATGCTCCTCATGTACATGTATATATAGGTTGTGGGTATTTATGTATGTATGTATGTATGTATGTATGTATGTACGTGCGTATGTATGTGTACATATATTTATTTATACCACAGCATAATATATTTTCATATGTGTATGTGTGTGTACATGTGTGCTATACAAGCATCCTGATCTCCACCATGAAAATGAATTGGCTGTACATGCTGTGACTTGCAACATTATACCTTGGATGTCATACTTGGCACCAGGTGGGTTACATCATGAGTACTACAATATATGCATAACACAGTTTTTGTTGTATGCTGACATGGATATGTAATGGTGCATGTGTTCCACTATATTCTGTGCTATATACATGTGTGTATCTACATACACATATGTATATACATATGTATATATACATATATGTGTGTACATATTCCGTTCTGGTTCATATTATACACTGCACTGCATACACTGCGTGAAATTATGTGCCATGCCTCAACACGTGACAATTTCATGAACTTTTACATCATTACTTGCATTGCTCGAAAAACTGCTCCAAGAAACCAGATGCCATTCTGCATATCATATCCTGGTGTGTCACATCATCTCGGAATGTGTTGTAGTGTAATGTGTTGATTTTTGTATTGTACTTTACTGACTCGTATTGCAGTGCGGCGAATAGTACTACCTTGGGTTGTACAAGTAGAGTGGACAAAAATGCAGTATGTTGGACCGTGTAGTTTTTCATGCCATCATCACATATGGTGTACCATGCTTTTGATGCTCTATCCTGAGTGTCACTGGATTATGTTCGATTCGATCAGCTCAGACCAATCTTCACGTAGGTGGAAAAACACGTATTATTGCGCTTTATGTGTGTATATATGTATAAGTGCATATGTATGTTTGTTAAGCATGCTTGTATACATGCATGCATGATTTCATGCTGCGGCCATTCCGCCTCAGCACGACATGACAGCAAAAGCCTGGATAGCTGGGTTCGAGATCTGGGCCCAGAAGCTTGATGCACTGTGCTGTTTTCAGATACTGCCCTGTCGCTCCCCATGATGAGGACGCCTCTCTGCTCTGTCTGTCTTTTGTGCGCGCTCGGGGCCGGCTTTGTTGGCGATATTCACCCTTGCAGGATACTGTAGAAATCAGAAAGTTGCAAAAGTGCAGATTCGAGTACCTGCCCCGGGTGAGCCCAGACCTTGCCTTTCGCAGATTGGCAAGCCTGAGCCTGAACCTACAACAGCGCTGCGCGCGCCAGGCTACCCTGGCAACACGGAGGAGCCAACTGGTTGACCTTCCTGTGAAGACCTTTGGCATCCATTTATGTTGAACCTTTCTGACGCTTCCCGAGCTATCTGGGGTCTTCGCCGGTCCAATGACTCATTTAGTTGCTTATACATTTATTACAGAGGGTTCTCGTATCGTATGGGATGGACCTTCTTCGCATGACTCAATTGCGGCTTGTGGCGCAAGTTAAACTCCACTAGACCTTTCCATTCTTTCGGGTCACTGGGTCGGGTGCTTGCGAAGGTCAATAAATTCCTATCCCTGATAGCAACAGTCGATCCCTCATCGCACATCCTGTATGTTACTCTTTCGCCAGTCAATCTGGATATTTGCGCAGGCAAGGTCTTGGAATCTTCGACTCAAAGATCGAGTGTTTCCTTTCTCTGCCTGGATGTGCCGCATCAATTTCAGCTGTGGCTCATAATTTTTCCATGCGTCATACGGTATAACCATGAGCATTCTTGATGCCCTGTGCCGCCTTTGTATATATATATATATATAGCGAAAGAGACAGAGATCTATCTCTGTGTGTGTTTAGCTTTATGTTCATACTATAAACATAACTGCCAACTTCGTCAAAATCCGGCGCTAGACAAAGCACTGCTGCGAAATAGAAAGACGAGAGCCAGATGCACTTGCCATCAATGCCATCGAACTGGAACAATTCCAATAGTGAGGTCCCCCACAACTTGTCGAGAGCCGAGTTCACAATGCACATTCCTTGGACACTTCCACCGAGGCGCACTTCCTGCTAGTGCGCGCCTGGGGTGTTGGGCACTTGCCAGCCGGACTCGTCCCCGTCTTTCCTTTCCTTTCCACCCTGCCTCCCTACTGGCCCTGCTGCTCGAGCCTGCACCCGAGCTTTGACACTCTGGTGCAGCAGGGCCATGCAGGATTTCACCAAGTGCTTTTCCGTGTCGGTCGATGTCCACAGACAACACTCGTTGACTGGTCTACTCCATCGTCTCTTCTTGCGATCAGAACGCTGCCGGACTGCCGCTTGAATCGCTCCAAACTGAGTTCCTTCCGCTTTGAACCATGCCAACATAAATCGGTGATCGGAAATTAGAAGTGTCTAACTGTTGCGAAACCAGTTGGGAAGCAATGAAGCGAGCTACGCACGATGCTCTTGCGACGCACTTTTGCCATGCCTGCGAAGACGAAAGTTGCTGCTGCAAGGACCCGCCTCGCATGCCAAGGCCAATCTCTCCGCTTCTAGAAGCTGAGGAGGACGCCGAGCACCTCGACCATGGCCAAACCCCCGGCCGCAGAGCTCCCCGTCGGGCTCTAGGGGTCCTTGGCGAAAGAACGGCACAATTCATGCGCCCACGATGATCGCAGGCAAGACATCCTTTCTTCCGCCGCGAAGCCACGTCAACGACAAGCACAAGTCGCTGGAAAATACCATTAAATGGTGTGGCTTGTGGATGCCAGCTTCAGGCCGAGACGAAATGTTTGTCCCAAGGCCATATATGCGGATGGTGATTAGTTCGCTGGCCGTCAGCTGACAAGTCGAACTTGCATGGCGAAGCCTGGAAGGAAGGCGGCCTGTTCCAAGCGAACATGGCCGCTTGAAAGCAAGTTTGCTGCAACATCTTTGCCCATCTCAGCTCAAGCTGCTCAGATGGAGATGAAGCCAACGTCATCTGACCTCCACAAGGGTGTCGCATGGCAACTATAGTACCCTTGTGCCAGAAGCTGTGTGGGCACACCTCATTTTCGGTGGCAGCGATGGAACCGTCGGAATCGCGTCGCCGGGAATGCCTCGAAAAAGCTGAATGCAATGTCTGGCGATGTCTGGCACTGAACGTGCATCATGCAAGATCGTGACATGCAATCTCAGGTTGAACATGGCCCGCGGCATTTTTTCTCGATGGACCAGCGTCCACCGCTCGTCGTCAGCTTGAACCATGCCTGGCCGAACACAAGCCCCGCTGCTGCATGCACCGTGCGGAGTTACGAGTGGTTGCCTCGTCGAAGGCAACATCGAGGGCTCCCTGGTTCGAGGCAAACTCCTGCAGCTTCGGAGTATACGGCAGCTGCTAGCCTAGGAGGCGAATGCTTGCTGTAGGGCAGCACAAACGAAAGACCCTGCCAATGATCCTGGACAATAGAGAGGTAGTTGTCGTCGTTCATGAGGGCCATGTCACTCGTCAGCCTCAAACATTCACGGCAGCTGCATCCGAGACTCGACTTGCACTAGGAGCTAGCAAGTTTACATGAGCGGACTACTTCAATGCGCCCTGGCCCTTGCACTTCAGCCATAGCTGGCCTCATGAGCTTGGCCTCATCGGCAGCCGCCCCCTTCACGCGCCATTGCCAATGTCCACCGGGGCCTGACACATAGCCCTGCTCCCACTGATGCAAGAGTAGAAAGGGAGCGACAAATCGCCTGTGAACTTCTCCCATGTGCGGTTCAGTAGCATGACGAAGTACTCGTTGTCCTGCAGTCCGAACTCTCCTGACCTGTCCTTGATACGTGTCACCTCCAAGTCTGCGGCCCATTTTGTGGGATTTGTCGTCCAGGGGCCCTCCATGCCTAGTTGAGATTTGGGTGACAGTCTGGTCTACAAGGACAGCTCAGCCAAGTGAAAGCAGGCCACCACTGGTGAAGGTGTCCGTCCTCGGAAGGAATAACAGCGACAAGTTGAGAAGCACCGCAGCTATTTCGAGGCAGATGCCCCTTTCCAGTTCCACACTTTCCAGGCCAGGGGTTGTTGACGTCCTGGGGCAGCAATTGCAATTGTCGTCTGCACCTTTTCCAAAAAAAATCTTTCCACGCTTCGGACGGTGCAGAAGCAGTGCAGAAGGCAACCCCGGGGGAGCTTTGGCGCCTCGCGAGGAGCGGGGCCAGGTCCCGCGGTGCATGCACCGTGGCTCTTTCCAAAGGCATGCCCACCCCCGATGAGAGCCACCTCTGCCCAGGCATGCGCACGCTGATGAACACGTCGGCAACCCCCGTGCGAAAATGCGAGAATGGATGCGCATAGCATTCCCAGCCGCGGTCTGTGTGTCGTTCATTCCCATCCTGCCGAAGGCATCGCGCACGTCGCGGGCCGAGGCCTTCAACGACACATGGAGCCAGCTTGAAGCGATTTGAAGCATAACTTCCCATCAAGAGGCCTTGGGGTCCGGGTTTGGAGCCCAGCTGCCATCCGGCTGCTTTGCAACGGGGCCTCCCAGCGTGAGGTTATGTGAGCTTTCGAGCCGAACAGGGCAAGTCGCTACTTGCCCCGCGCACCTTCTGGATTGAGGTAGATCAAACCAACCTCGGTCATGCTCCCTATGCTCACAACACTCACGGCATTTCGGGGAAGGCACCGTGGTACTCCCCAGCGGTCGCTCGCAGGTGCCGTTGATGGGGCATGGAGCATACCGCTCCTTGCGAGTTGAATTTCAAGAGCATGCCAACCGTTTGAGTGTAACGCAAGGACTTTCAGCAACCAACCAACAGAGTCGCGCCTGTTCAGGGCTAGGACCCAGATCCAGGCTGTCTGTGCCTGCGCGACAACAGATTGCCGTTCTGCTTGCACCAGGCCGCTTCAATTCAAATCCGTGTGTTGAACCCTCGGCACCGTCTGGAGAATCGATGCGGCCCGCGCAGTACTGCGAAATGGGCCCGCCCATGGTCTTGATGGCAGTGGTGCCGGCCTTCATCGAATCTTCAATACAGGCTGATTCAATTCGCAAACATGCTTGCACTCATCGAAGAAACTCAATGGACGAGCTGGAGCCGGGGCGCAGTTTGAACCCGTTTCGCGCCGTTCGCCGTCCGCCCACGGCAAGTAAGGTCTAAGGTCGAGACGTTGGGAAAAGCTTCAGTCGATGTTTGGCCCGAGTGCTGCGACGGGCACGTCGTTTTTGCGCATGTTCTGCGCACTCGTGTGTGCTACACAACTAACGAACCGGTGTTGATCAAACTGGTCATTGACCAGTTTATGCTTCGTTTGGATGCAGGTCTGTTTCATGCCGCTTGGCAAAGATGAAACGGCGAGGCGGAGCTGGGGCACAGTCTGCGAACTGTGGCAACCGCGATCTCAAGCTCCTTAACATGATGAACTGGGTGGGGACAGTCACGGCGTCCACAACGCCGGTCCACTCGAAGGTGAGGAGGAGTTATGAATTACTTCCGCAGTGGCATCCGCACGGCCCACGGCCCCCTCTAGATTCACCAATGCGGCATGACAGAGATATGGGGGCGGCCCGGCCCCTCCAATACCGTCTGTTCCTGACGAGCCTGGCTTCGACTGGATGGGGCGGCAGCCTCGGATCCTCCGCGCAGCGGTGATGGGTGTCTGCGCCGAGTGAAGTGCCGCACCAGCCACTGGAGTGGGGCGATCACCGAAAAGGACATGGTGGATAAACGGATACCTCCAAAGCTAAGAACCAAGTTTCTGCAGAGGCACTAGTCCGCAAAGTCCGCGCACGGGTATGCAGCGAGCAGATGCAGAGGGACACACTCGCTGTCTGTTTTTCTGCAATGGTAGCTCGGTGCAGACCGCCAGTGACCGCGAGGCGAAAGGGAAAGAAAGAGCATCTGAGAGCTGCGGCATGAAGTCAATCGGAAACGGACAGACCGAATTCGGGGCCAGAACAGATATGCTGGGTGCAAGGCCAGCCGGGACAGGCACGGAAAATCCAAGAAGCACCGGATAGGCCCCAGGAGAACAATCCACCAGCACTTCCACAAGCAGCCCCGCGAGAGAAGGGGAACAGCGGTTGGAAACTGAAAGCTGGACTGGACCCAGAAAAGGGGCAGACGGTCTCGATGCAAGCGGCTGCGCGGACTGGGACTTGCCGGCGCGCTGCCCTGCAACTAACAACTTAAGACGAAGCCATCCAGTTTGTTTGAACGACTCCGTAAGTGATGGTCCCTTTTGGAACTTAGCGCTGCTTGGCTTGCCGTCGAGCCCAGACCAGGAGTTCGCAGCAACGCGAGCACTGACGGAGGCCCTGGCCAAGGTGAAAAGGTCTCCCCAGCTAAGACCATCGCCGTACCTAGCAGGAGAAATTTCACAGCACGCGACTTCAGCCAGACCTCCTACAGCTGTTCCCTTGTAGCTGTTCAGCCACTAGGTGCCGTAAGTGCAGACGAGCGACTTCTCCTTGACCGGCCACAGCAGTGCCCTGGCCTTGTCCAAGTTCGTGTTATCAGCCCAGCTTCGCTCCTTGGGACGAAACCAGGAAAGTGATGTGCGAATCTTCCTCTGTGGGGCACACGCTGGTTCGAATCGCTGCCTGCCACCGGCACACCCCCCACGCCTCAGTCAGCATACCGTAGCACTTCAGTGCACTCCATGGCTGCCAGCCGTTTATCAATGTGCGACTTTCTCGCCGAGCCTCTCACCCATCAGTCTCGCGCCAGCTGCCCGAGCAATGCCAAGCCAAGCCTTTGATGTGACGTCAGGACTTCTTGAATCTTGTCCGATCTCATTGCTGTCTTGCATATTCATGGCAACGCAGATCACTTCGCTGCCGGCATGCGAACAAACAGAGGACCGTAGTTTCCCAAGTCCGCGGGCCAGCAATCCTGGTGGATTGCAGAGATTCGGGAGCAGCGGTGTGTGATGCCTGGTGACTGGAACAGCTGCCTGGGAATTCACGAAGAGTTTCTGCAGGTCGGTAACGACAGCCTGTTCGCGACAGAAGGTTGCCGTCTGGGCCCTGGGCACCTTACGCACAGCGGAGACGGGCGCCTTCAGGTCCAAGGCCTTCAGCGCTGCATCGTAGACCTCGGTTTATGTTTCCACGCAGGAACACGGTTTCCGCCGCGAAGTCCGCGATTACATTTTCGAGGTCAACCTACCAAGAAAGGAGAGGCAAAGCTTCGGATCTACAAGTAGGAGGTATAGGCAGGTGTCGGGAAAAGCTCTGCACACCAAGACATTCTGCGGCAGAGCGACCGGCAACTCGGGCACTGCGGCATAATTCTCCGGAACGGTGGTGAAGGGAAGACCTGCATTCAAGCAGCGGCCAGTTCCGCCAAACGAGCTCTGGGAGCCACGTGGCACCTGGGCAGGTGGCCACGCTCACGCCCGGGACCAAGAATGCCAGAAGCTTCCGTGCCATGGCTCCGCGGCAAGCGGCCAGGTGAGGATGGGTACGAGCAGAAGTGAAAGCGGCTTCGACAAAAACGGATAACATGCACGACCTGACCTGCAATTTAACCCAAGCCGTGCCGATGTGTCTGCTTACATGGCTTGTGGTGTACCATTGCTCTGGCCCTCGCATGGTGTACCACTGCTCTGGCCCTCGCAGTCAGTCGCAGCTTCAGAATTCGCTGAGATGCACGCGGCCAGGCCGATTGGAGCGGCCTCGCCAACAACTCTCAAACGCTTCCAGGCTGCCTGGAAGCTCTTGACACTTCAGCTTGCAGCTCATGTGAAGCGTCACAGCGACCAAGCGGCACAGCTTAGAAAGCTTGGCAGACGTCAGTGGCAGTGTGCACCATGAAGCATGCGATGCCGTGATTCGTAGACAGCCTGGGGAGCTGCAGTCACCGGAGCCGCTCTCGCCGGAGCCGCGAAAGCTGTGAACCAAGCCAGGCGAGTCGAGGTGGCGTTCGTTGAGTAAGAAGCATGCTCAAACTTCCCCGACTGAAAGATGTCAGGTGCAACAGCTCAAGGACACCCCCTCTTTTGCTGAGACCAGCCTGAAATCCGAGAGGCTGTGCTCGGACCGCTTCTTTTCTCGTGAATTTGGGGATGTCCAGCTTGGCACCCAGTACGTCGTTTCTAAAAAACGGGACCCACTTATGACTTTGCGAATGGAGCTGAGTACCGGTGGTGTCCAGGCTGCACAGATGTACGACAACCAACGAAGCCTGCAAGTTCTGCCCTCATGTCAAATCAGCCATCTTCGAGACAACACATACTTGTCGTAGCAGACAGTGTCGGCTTGCAAGCTCGTTGTGATGAGTCGCAGACTTTCATGGAACCTGCCCCCGCAACTACGAGTTTGCTTCTCACTCCATGCGACCCTGGCATCTTTAGGTTCCGCTGAACTTCTGCGTGCAGGTATTGTACAGGGATGCCAGTAGAAAAGTTACTGTGTTTTGGACATCATGGTTGCGTCGTGCTTCTCACAGCAAGCCTTACATCAGGCACCACATCATTCTGCAGACGGCAGCCAAATTTCTTAGCCGCCTTGGACGTGAAACCTTACCGATAGCTGCGGCAGATAGAAACCCAGCGATTCACGCCTGAGCTCTGGCCTCGATCAGCCTGCAGTGACTGCAGTGTTCAGCAACAGTTGGATGCATCGAAAAGCAGCGACGGATACTTGGGCTCTGGACTGCAGCTCGTAAACATACCAGTCCAGAAACCTGAGTGGATCGAGGTGCCCATGTTCACAGCTGCAGGTCGTTCTCGTCTGCAGCAGAGCTTATAGGACCGAGCACCAAACTCATCCCAATTGACCTGGCACAGACGCAACTCGGCCCCTGCTCGTGCTCCAGAGCAGGCTAAGCAGCTAAGCCTTGTTGTCAGCAGTTGCTTCCAGGCTTCGGAACCTGATACAGAAGGGCAGGGGGCAAACTGCTGCGATTGCGCTTCTCGCACGCTCTGCACTGTGTACTGCTGGGAATTGTTGTCTGACACGCCTCGTTTCAACAATGTCGTGCGGCCCTCCCTCCTCTGCGAGCTCAAAACCAACATGCAGGGACAGGCTTTGACTCGAGCGCTCACACGGGGAGCCGGTGCCTAGTTCAAAGTGAAGGTGGTACCGAAGCTTGGCAACACAAGGATCGCAACATCTGATCACGGGAGTCCTGCTGCGGGATTCCGAAGAAGTCAGCGACGGCGGGCCCTTGCATGCAGGAAACAACATGACAGGATGATGCACTTCAACCCGGACCGAAACCAGCAAGCCGTGGTGCACCCTGCGCGTGTCTGAGGGCTGCTCTTTCCTGGCAGAGACGGATGAGTTCCCACCTGACAATTTTGTCCCGCACGAGTGCACGGACGAACGTTACAACTCTCTGCATTGCATGACATCTTCCGAAAAGCTCGGCTGCATGCTTGTTCATGGTACCATCACCTGTCAGAAGCTGGGACTGCAAAATCGGACAGGAGTGTGGCATCTGAAACAACCAGCTTTAGCAGCGCCATCCCGAAAGTATTTCACTGTTGTGTTGTCTAGGACTGCGTGCACCAAGAAGCTGTCCAGGGTGCCTTCTCTGTCGCAGGCATCAAAGATGCGTCTGAGGTCATCCTTCCACATCGCAACTGATGTGCGCGTTCTGTGAAGCTGCTTTACAGGACTTTCATATCTGAGACAGCAAGCAGCCAAGCCAGAAAACTCAATCGCACACCTGCACCGTTTCATTTCGGAATCATTCCTCCTCCGCAGGGTCCAGCCGCGGCGTGCCAAGGTCCATGGGCATTTCAGCACCTCACAGTTTCCAACTTGGCCAAGCAAACATCTTTCCCCGTCGTCCACAGAACCTCTTTCACTTCTCAGCTCACCCTCTGAGCTTCCAAGTCTGCATTCTCCAACGAAATCCCGCTTCTTTCGGGTGCCATGTGATGCAGGCAGGGTCGTCGGACTTGTGAATGGAAGCGAGAAAGAATTCAAGGACAGATTCTCAGCTCGATCTCGTCTGCCAATACTGAAAGCTTGTCAGTGACAGGTTCTGTGGATGCGACTCTGGTATCCATTCTGTCTACGAACTGTCTACGACATCAGCGCAAGGATTCTGTCGGGAGAGCCCGGAAGGCCTGGCCCCAGCTCGCGGGACATGTGGTGCCTTGCGGCGTAGTCACAAGCAATTCGGAAGCGCTGACTAAAAGTCACGAGCTCCGCTCTCTGGCTCCGTGCCCCAATACTCATTCTCAGGCAGCGACTCCCTGTCTCCTCACAGGGTCTCAGCCCGCAGTCGAGCAAATGAAGAACGAGGTAAACGAGCAGAGAACATCTCCACTTAGGATGTCCTGCATAGGCAGGTCCCGAGGCGTGGCCATCCTGCAGAGCAAAAGCAGCGAGCGGACTCATGCCAGCTCTTCTCGTCTGATGTGATACGGCAATAAGAGACTTCGAGCTTGCTCCGATCCCGGCAAAGGTCCTGCGTCTCTTGCTCCATCACCTGGCCGCACACATCGTTTGGCGAAAGCACGATGAACAATCCGATGGCCGGGCATGGACTATGCAAACACGTTGAAAACGGATTCGGCTCATGACGGCCTCAAATTTCCAGACCATGGTTGGCCCCAGAATGCTGGATGCCTTTTGGTCGCTACTCTTGTAATCTGAAATGAATCGTTGGCCGCAGTTGGGCATGCCGGTTTCTCCTGACTACGCAGCATTTACCACAGGCCGGCTCGTGCTTTCACTCACTGGATGCCTAGACTGCCTCTGGTTTTGTATGGGCAGTCGCGGTATGAAGCAAAGTGTCCCAGCTCTTTGCGCTCATCCCAAGCACCATGAAAGTCTTGCAAACCCGGATGTTTCATAAAGCAGCACCGGTGGCTCCACACAAGCACCCTGCAGCACAAATGAATCGCAGAAGCCACACGCACTGCCACCACCACCCCCCACTTCTGGAGGACAAACGACGACTTCCACAGCAACTGCCCATGGTGCTTCCCGGTGCTGGGAAACGAACCTCTTCCTCCCCTTCCTGCTCGTCTTCTTCTATGTGTTGCCTCAATCGCTCAAACGGAACAAAACTGGGTGTAAATGACTGACCTAATACTGAACAGATTTTCTGGGCCCCGGCTGCACTTGATCGAGATCTAGCTGGGGCACGGATGGAGGCCTCCGGCTGCTTGCGCTTGAACTGATGTACCAAGCGCGGGCCCGACAGCCTGATGACTCGTCGTTCCTGCCGCTGCGGTAGATACCCTGCGAGCGAGCGGTGCATGCCCAAGGGTTCGGAAGGTGCCGATTGCTGGACGGCCAAGTCTTTTGTCACAGCTTGCTCAGCTGGCTCCGGTCAGGAAGTCTTTGACCGATGTGATGGATCGCAACCTGAGGAATGCAAGCAAAACTCGTCCTGGGCAGACTCCCTCGGCACATCACTGCCTGCATCAAAGCACATCTTGCCGAGCAGCTCCGCCATTTCGCCGTATCGAGATGTGGGCAGTTGCTGCATTCGGTGTGAAGAAAACCTTGCTATAGCTCGAGCTTGCAGACATGACTCCGACAGTCGGATGTATATGAAGTCGCAGATGGATGGAACACACGAAGCCGGAAGCAAGTTACGTATGTAAGACCCAATGAATGCGAAGTGAAAGCAAAATCCCATCTTCTAGGTTTTTCCCTTAGTGAGTATAGTACCGATAGCGTAAAGGTCTTGAACACTCGGGAGTGTCGCATGCCTCCCGACCACACAACGCTTGTAGCTACGTTCGCCCACATACATGCAGACGCGCATGAATCAACCGAGAAGCGACAGGACGTTCCGTGAAGACGTTGGTGTGAGGGTGATCGGACGAACCGTCGTCAGCCTCAGCATCTTACGACTGAGTCATCGCATTTGACGAGACGTGCACGTTGCACGACTGCACCGCGACGGAACAACTTCTCAGCGTCTTCACAGGAGGTGGATTGCATCTGGGGCACGATGCCGAGCAGGGCCTTCAGCAGCATGTCGATCAAATGGCCGTGGATCACCAGCACCACATAAGCTCCTGCACAAAAGAAACCCCGAAACAAAGGCCACGAGACATCGGGAAACTCGATGGGACTGCGGTCCTGCAACATCAGCAGAGTCCTGCCGCATGATGCAAGAATCTGCAAGACTAAAGTGTAAAAGTGAAGAGCTCTCCCGTCCTTGCGCAGTTCTGTTGACCGAAGCCATTTGACCTTACTGGGACCGTGGCCGTGGCACGGGAATGCCGGCAGGGCAGGCATGAGCCATGGCAGCCATGTTGCGATCTCGGCAGCTCGCAGCCGCGCAGCTTCATCGGACTCCCAGCTCCCCCGGTACCAGCCTGGCAGGCATTTCCTTGAACGCTTCGTTGCACTTGCACGACCGTCCAGAGCCACACCTGCACCATCTTTTGGCAACTTGGTGGTGCGGTAGGCCGGAAAACGCTGCTCCTAGGTATCAGTGCGATTTGAGTAAGGCATAGATTCTCAGTCGGATTCCAGCAAGAGAGCTGAGAATGCAAACAAGTGCAAGACGATTTGCGGCTGAACACTCGATTCGTTACATGGATACGTGCGGTGCCTAACGATTCATCTAGGAGAGGGCACAAACCTCTTCGTCCGAAACACCAGGAAACGGTATCATTACTTCTCAGTACACTGCACGGAGGGGATCTCACGCGAGGCAGGAGAACCCGAGGCCTCAAGCTTCGTAAGCTGCAGAACCCGCAGAACGGATGAAGCCGGGAAGAGAAACAAGAGGGAAACCATCTGAACCCCGTTGAAGCCAGCTGATCTACGTCGGCTGCATACGTGCCTCCATACTGTAACGCTAGAACGCCCAACCCCCAAATCGCCAAAACTAGACGAAAGCCAGCAAGGAGCAATCTCTTCGGCAGTCAAGCACTCTCCAGGGCCATCCCGCCGGCCCAGCCGCTCCACATAGACGCCCCCGACCTTCAATGGCTTCGAGGCTTGTGTTTGTTTCTTGCGCGTGCCCGAGGTCTCAACGCTCAGCATGTCTGTGCTGGTGCAGCGCTCGCAGGTTTCCCGATTGTATGATGTTCCATGAGGCTGCATGTATTTCCAGAACTTCCCGCCGTTCTGTGGAATGCCGCGCGTTCTGCCCGCCTCGAAGAGATCGGGATGAACCTCCACAGAACAGGAAGAGCCCAGAGCCTGCCAAAGACAAGAACCTCTCTGTTGAGCATGCAAGACGGAACGGGTGCATTTGTACACCGCAACAAAGTGGCCAAAGATGAGCATCTTGTTCCGAGCCCACACTCATGAAACACCAGGAAACCTCCTTGCTAGCAGTCCCTGTGCTCTCATGCCTGCCAGTTTCACATCGACTCGATGATCACACTTTTCTCGAGCCGCCTGAGCCAGGGGCTGGGCTGTCTGAAGCCTAGGCTGGTCAGGGCATCTAGCAACACAGAAGGATTTGCTCTGCCTTCATCCATCTATGGACTAACACTTTCCCTCTGCATGCCAGACAATGGATCATCAATGGCACTTCGCGACAATCTAAAGCCCCGCGACGTTCGCATGAAAGGCGACACGAAAATCTTGATCAGCCGGCTTCCCGCTAGCCTTCCAAGGGCATGTGAGATGTGTGTTGCTCTGCATCATGGTGAGACTCCCCTTCACCGGTACCTTCGCAGCATTGGCGCCAATGTGTTGGCAACTTCCTCGGCTTCTTGCAAGCCTTGGCAATGCTGGCGCGGTGCCGTCTTCATGTCCTGCTTCATGCAGAACTGCGAACTTGCCTTTGTCGGTGAGTGCAGGATCCGACAGACGCTCGGCCAGCCAGCGAGCCTGCGGCGAGTGTGTCGCGCAGGCCGTCAAGTGGCATGTGAGTCCCGACTATATACGGCCATGAGCGGTTCCTCCACATGGCGAGAGTTATTCCGCTTCTCTCTGCTAGTGTCAGCATGCGAGGCTGCTGCAGCAACAAATAATGCAGCTCGCTCACAGAAATATGCCCACACGGGCATCTGTGTCAATCCTGGCTGTACGACCGTGCTTTACAAGTCATGCAAGAATGTCAAGAATGGGGAAAACTTTGTGTACAGCTGGATGAAGTGCTGCATGGAATGGTCGCAGTGCTACTCAGGTTGCTTACTATGGGGGGGCACCTCTGCGTCATTGTGAAGTGCCAGCAGCATAGCTCTGAAATCTCGGGCTGGGCGGAGCCTCTGCATCACGGCGCCGCTGAGAGACAGGGTCCTCTTCAGTTTATGAGACATCATAAGAATGCTTCGCCGGTCTCTTTGGGCTGCCGCCTTTTTCTGGCTGCTAGACTCGCATAAAACTAGCGTGCTCTCTTGCAGCGATTCACCTGAAAGCTAAGCGGCACTGCTTGAGCTTGACTATAGAGGAGGTGACAGTCAGCGGCGCGGATCACTTGCCATTGCTTCCTACTCCGAACTGGTACCAAGGCCTCGTCAGCCACAGGCCCAAAGATTTTGGCCATCAACGGATTGTTAAGGCTCTCTCCATGCCGCACCTCCACGGGAAACACACTGACACATCAAAAAGAACCCCGGAATTCTTCCGCCACGATGCGAGCAGCACATGCAGGTCGCCCTTTTCTGTGAGAGCGGAGCCCGCCATGGCAGCCGGAGCTCTCTGAGCTTCGGGTTTCGGGCTGGGCTGCCAGGTTTGAGGCTCAAGTCAGGCGATCTGGCTTCAAGTAGCGGAGTCTAAAGGCTTCCGAGAATCTTGACTTGCACTAAGTGACGAAGCTTGTGCCGTGACGCAGCGTACAGCGAGTGCAAGACCGGCTTCACGGCGACGTGAGTCCACCGGTGTGGGGGGGGACAATAAGAGATCACAGCTTTCGGCCAGTCTCACATTAAATGGCAAGTGGGGGCACCTTTTCACTGCTGCGGGCCTGCCGGCCTATGGGCTACCTCAAGCGCCTGAGGTGTTCCGCAGCGGAACCTTCTCACTGCACTTAAACAACTAAATGCACCAAGCAGTTCAGGCCGCCAAATAAGCGCCAAGTAAGGGTTTCGGTGGCTGTGCAACTTTGGCCTTTGGCCTAGCTTCTTAGCCTCTGCAGAAGATCGATGTGCCGGTCGGCTTCATCTCGACTCTGCGTTGCTCCAGCCCCGATCAGAAGTAGTGTGACACACACGGCAGAAGCTTGTCTCATTACTACAGAAGCCTCTGCCAAATGGAGAGAGCTCATGACAAGCGATCACTAATCCTCCAGATCGACCGCGCTTAGAGCTGCGGAAATGAACCCTGAATGTCGGGCTAACGCACAACTGAATCACAAAGCCACTTCCACGGCGACTTCCCATCTCACGGGGCTGTTCGTGTCGGAGGACGCTTCAAAAACCTGCATTGACGCTTGCACTTCTTATTTGCAAACCTCGGGCAATCTGAAGATTGAAATGAAAGCCACACCTCCTCGCGTTTCGGGATGTGCAGCCTAGGCAAGCTCCACATGCTGATGACAGTTTACGGGTTACTTGCATAGCCAGGAGACGACTCCGGCCGCAACCAGGCGGAAGCGCTCCGCGAGGCTTTGCCTTTGAAGCCTGAGCATGACATCTTGCTCTGTGCGAAAGATGCGAAAGATCGAGCCCTCTCAATCGCTGGGGCAGCCTTTGCCGTTGCCCTTCACCTGCTCCAGCTGGAAGTAGGACAAGGCCTGGCGAGCCAGGCGACGGGAGGGTACGAGTAGTGTGGAAGCTGCAGGCGGCAGGGCGGCCTGGCGCAGAGCCGGGAGCTTGGCCTTTCGGCAGGGCTGCCCGGCGGGCAGTCCAGAGCTCGGCCTCGGACGGTGAAGCAGGAAGAGAGCTGCGCGCACGAGCGCACGAGCGCGAGCGCGCGCGTTCTCTCGCTGCCCTCCCCTCGCAAGGAAAATCTCAGCTTCGGCGCCCGAAGATGCGATGATATCTTAGGATCTGCAGCACGGACGCGAAGGTCTCGGAGTCCTCCGCTTGCTTGCCCGAACTGTCCGATACGGAACACAACGACAAGGTCTATGAACGAAGGTATCCCTCCTGGTCAATCCGCACAGCGTTGCCGACGAGGTCGCTCTCTTGGAGCGTCCAGTCACCACCTCGGATGCCCTAACGTAGAGGGACCCTCCTTAACACTGCCTGAGCTCTGCACCAAACCAACGCTCAAGCATTGAGCCCGTACCTGGCTGATGTGGTCAAGCACACCCACTGCAGGTAAGAAACCTACAGCCACAAGGATCCAACGAAGTGCTGCTGTCTTTGGCTTTGGAAAGCTGAGTGACAGTGTAGAAGCGTGGCGCGGCTTGTGGCCAGGATCCGACCCGCGGCATTGAAGTAGACCTGGCACCGCTATGCACTTGGCCGTCTGGGGTAGCAAGGACAGCTTGATATACTCCAACATTCCCAGAAATGCATGGCCAACTCAGCTAAGCCACGATGTCCTAAGCACGGCACGGATGTACAATCGCGCAGCACTGGCCGAGTCTTGACTGTTGCTTGCTTCTTGCTTCCAAGCCTCTGGTTGCTGCACTTCAGAACTACTTTGGGACGTAGCAGCTCTGCCTCCAAGCAGCCGTATGCCTTCCGAAAAGAAAAATGGAAGCAATCCGCCAAACACATCCAATGATGCGCATGCAGGAGTTGCAGGCAGACGTGCGATTGACAGGAAGACAAATGCTTCCATAGCTTGGAAACAATGCTTTTGGAGCTGGTGCCTGTGCGTTCCGTTTCCAATTTCTCCAGTTGGTCCTGGCAGCTCACTGCAGTCAAGTGATTGCCAGATTGGGTGCTTCAAGAATTGCTCCAGCCTGAGCTGCACTTCTCCGTTGGTGCAGTTCCTGGCCCTCCTCGAGTCGAAGTGCGTCGAAGTGCAAAAAAAACAAACGGCTGAGATGCCAAAAGCCTAAAAAAAGAAGCGGTCCTCCTGGACGGCGCGGATGTGATCCGCCAGGAGGCAAGCAAGCCTGGACACCGTTTGTCAACGGCACAGCCATTGCACTCTGTTGCCGGGTCATGGGTCCATGGGTGTCATGCGACGACACAGACTCAACTATCTTTGACCACATCAGAAGCATTCACTCTGTTGTGCACATGCAGGTCGAAGTAAGCTGTGGCCTTGGCAGACCCTATGTTTGGTCTGTGCAGCTCACGTGCGACAATCAATCAGGTATGCACCCAGGGCCTGCCACTCTACATTGAAAACTGGGACCAGTATGTATGCCGACAGATATTCGAGTCCAACCAGAACTGACAAATTCTCGGTTTGGGACACATTTCCAAGTAAGATGTTTAAAATTATGGCGGTGTTTTCAAATGTTCGACCGGTCTGCCAGGTCCAATGTGGGCGTCATCCTTCATGCATGGGGAGCTTTGTTGCAACAAGTTCTCGATGGATACTGGACATACACATCAAGCGCGCATGTGAGTATGAAGATCTGCAGTCATGCATGCAAACATTCAGTCAGAAAAGCCCGTTCTGCATCGCAAAGTACTGCAAAACATTTGGCTTGCCGACGAGCCGCTCGTCGATCTGTGATGACTGCTGAGAGGTGAGCCTGGCTTGCAAAGGCGTCTGCCAAACATTTTCCACACAGAGAAAACGACCAGAATTAGGGAAATTCCCACACCCAACCTGACTTACCTGACTGGACAAGGGAGCCAGAACCATGGAGGAGACCGTCACCAAACCTGCAACCCCAGCTCAACAAGCCCTTCCTGCATCGCGGTGCCAAATAGCCGAATTGAGTTCCAAGCCAGGCCCTGCCCTGCTCTATATTGCCTTCTGTATTCGTATGCCTCACTCTACTGCAACGCACTTCGTGCCACTGCTTTGAAGCACCCGTGAAGAAGCCCATTTTCCACAAGCTGTGAAACTCAACTCAAAAATTCTTGGTTGTCAAGGCACTGGTCGCGGACCGGCATCCCGTTGCACATCATCACCTCTAAGTATGCAGCGTGCAGCCGGTACAGAGTCTGATTCCAATGCCACCAGGGGGCTGGTCGGTAGCATGGCATTGCGTTTCGCACGCTCTCCATGCAGTTCAGCCAATAGTCACCTAGTAGACTTCCGAGCGCGAAGTACTGAGACGATATTTTTTCGGTATCGTGTGACTCGTTCGCCACTCCCCGCTTATCGTTTGATGTTCAACGCTTGCCGCTCCGGTCATGTTAAGAGTCAGGTTCTATGGCACCTAGGGCTAGCGGAATGGACAAACAAATAGATAGACAAAGATATCTAAACACACCGAGACGGACACAAACCGATAGATAGATAGATAGATAGATAGATAGATAGATAGGTAGATAGATAGGTAGATAGATAGATAGATGGATAAATGGATAGATGGATAGACGGATAGATGGATAGATGGATACATGGATAGATGGATACATGGATGGATAGAAAGATAGATAGGTAGATACACAGACACAGACAGACAGCTAGATAGACAATAAATATAAATCATGTAGAGAGGTCACTATGCATTTGTGTGTTTACACACTCATCCATTAGATGTAACTACGCACACACGCATAAACACTGTCACGTATCCTTGCTTATGTATATGTAAACTGACTATTATGCATGTCTCTTTAGATGTATATGCACACTACCACAAACCCCACCAGCACCGATTCGGCCAACACCGACGCATTGCTCCTCGCTGGAGCCAGAATGTCCTTCTGCTTCTGCTCAACAAGACCACAGCTGCAGGAGTTTTCATCAGAAACAAGTTTTGCGACGTGCGATGCGCGTTAGGTCAACGTTATTCCAGGCGCTCAAACTGATATGGGTACTGGCATTCACTATATTCATGCCTTTGCTTCAAGCAGCAACACGCGAGTGCTGGTACTCAGAATCCTCAGTGGTAATGGCAACAGTAATAGGAACAGCGATAGTAGCGGTAAGGATAGTAGTGCAAAAACATCAGCATAGTAAGAACCACAACATTCTTGTAGGCATATGTCTGCGGGTAATAGGCGAATTCTCAAAAAAACACATGCCCTGGGCCCTATAGCGATGATGACAACAAACGAAAGCTTAGACAGCATTTGACATCTCTGTCTTTCAAGACAAACGGGTGATGGTGATGCCGACGAACCTTGGCCCTACAATCTAGAGCTCGCAGCCGTGGCGCGAATCTCGTCGGTTGAAAACTCCTTTGCATATTTGCAGAGAATCCTCAGGGAAGAGCTGCATTTGCAAAGCAAGTCTGCTCCTTCATGAACGGAGGACTTGCCGCCAAAGATCTCTGTGTATGTACAAATGGCACCATCCTCTGGGTCCAGCTTCACCTGCAATGAGTCGTGGCGGATAGAGATCAGGGATATGCCCAACAGAGGAGATGTCTAACAACCCTGCATCTGAAGCAAAGCCGCTGCCTCTACTACTACTGGGTGTTTTCTTGGTGGAAGGGAGTTGAGTTGCGTAGTTCGTGCAGATGAAGCTGTTTTCAGTTTACTTGTCTTGTTGTACAGTTGAGCAACCACTCTCCATGTTGATGCTCCGTCCTTGGGCTCGCCAACGATTGTGGCAGGATCTTCCGCCAAGCCGAGAAAGCGCAGCAGGAGGTCCTGGAAAACTGAAGACTCTGATCGATGCTTTGGTGCTCACAATGAATCCGACCTTTCCCTCATCTATTGGTCTCAAAGTCTCACAAACTACATGGGTAGTTCTCTAAAGGGTCCATTTTTGGGTCCCCCATGTAGTACGGCACCCTTATGACAAGGACCCCGAAAGGGACCCTAATTTAGAAAACTACCCACATAGTTCGGCGAGGATTGGGAAAGCTTCCATGGAGTTAAGGATACAACTCACGAAGAAGGGTTCATGGCCGCTTCAGTCCAGGCCCCAGGTCTGCGGCTCCGAGGTCTCCGGCGCACGGCGGCGTTCCGATTCGGCGCCTTCCTCAACAAATCAAGTCTTATCTCGAAATCCTGGTGCTGCGCAAGAGTTTCTGCAGGCAGAGACAATGCACCTGCACATCAGATTCTCAACAAACATCACTCGGCCCCCTGCAAAGGCCCAGTCCAGGACGCAACGGAACTGTGCCGGGTCCTGAGCCGACCACAGTAGATTGATCGACAGCGTGGTACTTACTCCGTTGAATGCAAGGCAGTGGCTAAGTCGAGGAAGATGCGGCCATCATCATCCTTAGTTAAACTGCCCCAGTACTGCGGCAAGGTCTGAGGTCGAAGAAATGCGGTACCCAGACAAGAGACCAGCCTGTGCAGACGAGCTTCCAAGCTTGTGTATCCGCCCCAGCGGCCAGTTACAATCGAGTGCAGAAGGGACTTGGGAAAGCAATCAAACTGCTCTCCTTGGGAAGGGGTGACAGAGATATTCAGCACAGGAAAATACGAGTACGTAAGCAACAACATGAGGAAAGGCACAACTTCGAGGTTGATACAAGCCCCGGTTCTCGGACAAGCCGAGGCACTGAAGAGCTCGAAACCCGTGTCACCTCCCACGTTGAGCCTCACAGCGCCGGTCCTTGGCAATAGCCGTCTCTCCACCACGACAGGACCACATTAAACCGTTACCCTCGGCCGGCTTCCAGTCGTGCTGCCAAAGCACTCCGAAGACTTAGGCAGCGCCTCCTCTTGAAGTTCAGCCACTTGGGCCTTGGAAATGCACGGATTCGCTGCACAGGCAAAGCCTCACAAGCTGGCCTCAAGTTTCTCGACTTCCAGCCGGAGCTCATCTAGGTACTTGCGGATGGCCTAAGAAAGGGACAAGCACCGTGCAATGTGCAAGAAATAACCGGTCTGCAAGTTGGAGCCTGAGCCGACTCGTCACAAGTCGTCCGCCGGGGCTTCGCTTCATCGGAGCTTGCCATCACGAGAGGTCAACGAGTCAGCGCTTAATGCACGTGTTGTCGAACTCTTCGGCAAGCTTTCTCCGGTCTGATCTAGCAGTCTCTGTAGTATGAATGCAGAGCAAGTACGAGCACTGGGTTTTGCGGTGTACTGCCACTATCTGTCAGGTACTGCATTCTACCCTCATAAGCCGCGGGAGATTTTCCTGAGGCGGTGACGACCCAGTCCCTCTATCAACACTCCAGAGCAACATGCAGCCGAGACTGCTGTTTGCAGCCGACTGCCTGTGGTTGTAGGTGCTCGCCTTCTTGTTTATGACAGCCCGGCTATTCCTTCAAAAAGATATGAATGCATATCTTCACCTGCCTGCTCTTACTCCTCCACCCCCGCTGTCTCGTCTCCGGTCTCCTCCTTCCTGCGTTATTAGTCCCCCGTCTGCTACACAACCATTACTTATAACTTGGACGTTGTGGGCTCGGAAAGCAAGGCCGAAGCAACCTTGCCGATTAGTGCACTAAATGGTCGCACTATGCAAAGCAACTCCTGCCATGAATGAAACAGTGTGGAAGCAAAGGCTACATCCTGAGCACGTGGGCGCACCACTGTCGTCAGAGCGTGCAGTCTCGGTTCCAGAAGCAGCGGCCCCTGCGGAGAACAAATCCTAATGCCAAAGTGAAATCGTGCAACGGCCGGAAGGGAACAAGACCTCTGACATCGCAATGTCGGCTGGGAGCAATGTTAAGTCGCAACAACGTGCGAAAGCCTGGCACGTCGATGGGCTCCACTGGCTGGAGCTGTGAATGCTGCGGCGAAATGGAACCTGCGCCAGCTATTCTCACTGGATGCCGCCGCAAAGGGTCAAAGCAACCGATCTCTTGTCAATGAATGTATCAACTCTGGGCCGCAAGCTCAAACTGAAGAGGCCACCCTGGTTCAAGACTTCAGGCGGACAAGCCTTGCCGGTGGCACGACAAAACGGCTAGCTTGACGCGGTTCTAGGATCACTTCCATACTGCTACACAGCAAGATGCAAGGACTTGAAGCTTCACTGCACGAAAAGCCGTCTTAGTCTTGATGTTGGTCGTAGCAGAGACCCCCCAAAGGTCCAAAATCCGGGTTCTGCCAGCACAAACCCCCAAGAATGAAGGACCGCAGAGAGGACCAGGACCCTGCCAGGCACCCTCTGAGGAAGGGGGACTGTTTGGATGCCCAGCAAGGAGACGCAATGGGGAGGATGTGAATGAAAGGCCAGGACATCGCGTTGACCGAGAGCCCACATGTTGCGGGCGGCCGCAAGCGCAAAGGGGGAGCCCGTCCCTCTCGATAGGTAGTTCGTGCTCTCCTCAGGTGTCGAGTCAGACGGATTCAGACGGATGCTTTGTTGAACCACCGACGGATCGAGCCGAAAGGAGGGCAGTCGGCTCGATCCTAGCTTGCCATCTGTGCACATTGCACACGTACCTTATCGCCCTTTGTCTGCGACATGCTAGCTGCTGTCCCTGAGTGCTGTGGCCTAGGCAGAGTGGACAAGAAGATGTCCCAGCCTGCGCTGGCTGGGAGGCATCGAGGGCAGGTTCCCGACGGCTAGGATGGAAGGACCTGTCCAGGACCCCATCAGCGAAGGCTTCGCAAGCTAAATTCCACAGAATGCATCTCTGAGGCTAAGTTTGGACATGTTAAATGCGCGGCTCTTTTCCACGGAGTCTGCACGCTTGACTCCTGGGTCTGGGACTGCAGGGCTTGAACTGTGACCGCCACAGATCCGGCTCTGGAAAACTTCGACAGCAAACGGCTGCTTGCAGGATTTCTCCATGCTTTATGCAAAGACCGAGTAAATACACGCCGAGCACATCGCACATCCTCCTCGGTTCAAGCTGCCGGTATGCTGTCTCTTGCACAAATTGTCACTCCCTGCCTAGCTCTCTGAGAAGTCGCGGATACAAACACTGATTTTGACCTGTTACGAGTACGTGACACCTCGTGGCGGAAGGGAACAAGCCGGTATGGATGAGCCTGGCCGCATGCTCGAATCTTGTCAGAGAGTATGCATCTCATTGACGCCTTGACCACCAGGCCACACCTAAACATTTTCCCAAAACCGTCTGAGCCTGTCAGAATCTCAGTAATCTTCACAAGCCCATTGATCAGCTCACGGGCCACAACTCAGACGGCTACGAAGCTCTGCAAAGCATTTGAGCACTTTCTCAGTGGCGATGGTAGAAAGTGCCGGAGCGGTCACGACCTGCACTACACTGGCAGGACCGTAGACCTTTGTATTTCAGATGCAGGCTTATACAGATCTCGCTGAAGAAACCTCACACCATGCCCCGCTTGCGGGCAGTATCTAGCAGTGTAATTCATAAGCAGAAACAGGCTGAACTAGCACCTTCATCGACCAGGTCGTCCGGGTCTTCCACATCGACATCTGCGATCTCGGGGATGCGCTGGATCAGGTACTTCCTCGGAGCCACTCCTACTTGATGGGAACGACAAGCAGTATTTTCCGGAGGAGGCGCTTCACCCGCCGGAGGACGTCCTGCATCGCGCACGTCAAGGAAGCAAGGAGGCAAAAATGTAGACCCGTCAGCATGCGGAACTGTCCGGCAGGCACCAAACAAAAACAATTTGGAAAGCAACAAACACAACTCCGTGCATACACTGCCCAAGACATTCAGCTCTCTTATTTGGCTTGAGTGGCATCCCCACCATGTTCATATCCCCAAGCACCCTACCAGTTCGTGGTGTGTGCACACTCCCTCGTGCCCGGCGCATGAAACGTGCAGCGTGCGCTTCAATCCCACGATTCTTCATGCCATGTGATCGCTTGCATGCGAGGCGAGATCATGGCGCTCACGAGTACCTTGTCCCGGACACACCCTCGAGCCTACAACTGAGCTTGCAACATGATCAGACGTGGGCTTCCAGCTGCCTGCCCCTTTTGCTGGCTTCACCCGCCTCGCGCTTGTGCCAGAATGCACCGTACAGGTGAATGATCACCATGGGGCCCTCCACTTCCACAAGGTCGACCTTCGAAAAGGTCTGCAGCTTTCACGTTGGACTCCTCAACACAAAGAAGAAATATCCAGATACTGGCCCAAATGCAAAAGAAGCTGCTCTCTTATGGCTGCTCCAGGTGTCCACCCAAGGATATTGCTTATTGACATGCCGCTGTGCAAGCAATTGAAAGATTATCCTGCCTTTTCAGGCAACCGGCCTACACGGGCCTACACGTCACTTGGGAGGTTTTCTGGACGACGCTTGAGGGCTGACATGGGCTGATTCATGTATCCAGCAGGGGTCCCTGCAGACTCTGCAAAGACTTCCACAAAATTGTTTCTCCACATACTTCTCAACATCGTTCGAACGGGAGATTTTCACATGGGCGTCACTCCGAGCTGCCCTTACCTTGACGCAACTAACATCTTTCTGGCCAAGATACTTTTCCCGAAATGCCAGCACCCCTCAGCATGATCATAACAGAGGCATCGCGCAACTGAAACCAAGCTGGTCCATCAGCTAGGCTCGCCACGTGCTCTCCTCTACATAGCCAAAGCAGTTTTGCATGTGATGGTACCGAGCCTCCTGAAGGACTACCTGCACAGTGGCACAGAACGGCCTATCAAGCTGAATCACCAGAGCCAGAGTGCACCTCCACATTTTCTGGAGTCAGCGTCAAAGGCGGTCCAATTGGTTCAGCACCTGGGACCTGTGAACTGTCGCAGTGCGACATACAATCAAGTTCAGCACTGATGAACTGTCGCACAAATTGTCACGATTGGGACAAGTCTCCGCACGCAGAGGGATGGTGGATCTTTGCCGGTAAGATGTAAAGGATGCAGATGGAACCTTGGCGGGGATGGCATCATGAAAGTATAACTCATTTGAGGCATGCCCTTGTCTGCCCAATCAGGCTCGGCTGCAAAGGCGACAAAAGTGGCGAGTTTGACCAGCAACGCCTCGAGACGACAGCGAGTGAACTACAATATCATGAAGTCATGTCGTACTCAACTAGCAATTTAGTAGAACCTCTCTCTGCCAAGTGGCTGCCACAGCGGCTCCAGCAATCTTTGACCGCATGGCGATAAAAGCGGTGCGAGAGGTACCCAGATCTTTCGACGGCTCATGTGCTTGTTTGCTGTGTCACCAATGTCAATCGGTCGTCTGTTAGGATTGATGACCCTGATTCGCATGCGCTGGGCTCACTGAGGAAGCACGGGTGGAGCCAGTGGGCGCAGTTCAGCGCCGGGCATTTCCCTCGACGACGAGCCCGGAAAAAGTGCCAAGCACCCGTTCGAAGTCCCAACGGCCACCTGGGCTCATGGAGAGGCCCGCGCGCTCCCAGCGCGCCCATCGCCTCGGATGCGGCGAATGCGGCGGGTGCGGTGGAACCGCCGGGCCCAGCAGTGCCTGGCCCTGCACTCGGCTCCGCACATCCCACTGAGCGTCCATCTGCGGAAAACCATGGCCTCTCTGAGTGCCACATACTGCACGATTCACAAGGAAAAAATCTCTGTGCGACCTGTTCCATAAAGTTGCTGATTCAGGTAAAGCAGCATCATTGGCTTGTGCCCTGACAAGAGGCACATGTGGCTGCAGCGATCAGCCTGCGCCGGCCCAGTAGGAGGGTGTTTCCTGCAGAAGAACGTGAAATCTGGTCGCTACATGTGGTCCCCTTGTGCACCTGCGCCGGGGCCATCAACTGGGTGCTGCTGGACAGGCGGGATGCATTTGCACGCGCCTGCACCCCAGGCCAGAGCAGCAGCTCACACTCCCTCCAACAGTGTTCTGCAAAGCAATTCAGGACCGCGACAAGTCCCGATTCAAGAACCCGGATCAGACATGATCTTCGAGTCTCACACCTTTTTGTTACCCCAAGCGGATCACGGGGCATGGCCAAACAGACGCGCACATTTGCGGATGCGAATCTGTACTTGGCAGCGGCATTGCATGCGCACCACACCGAGCCTCGAAGGCAGAGCTCATGAGACGGCACTGAGCATGGAAAAACTCAGCCAAGAACGCCCATCGGGGAGTTGCAGTTCTTCAACAGTGACCTGCAGAAAGTCTGCCAATTTGGCGCAGATGAGTCTGTTGATGCTTCACAGGTCAAGCGCCACTGTCGTTCACAGGGAAATGCAGCATGTGGCAGGTGAAGGCACTGCGGGAATCACCTCATCCAAGCCTCGTCGCACTAAGGATGAGCAAGGGATGCCCGATGTACCTGCAGCCATTTGAGAGAAAAAGCAGCGTTGTTGAAGAGCTCGACTTTCAAACATCCCTGCCCTGCCTCGCGCTCGAACCGCAGAAGCGACCTGTTGCGAGGGTTGCTGGAGAGGTCTGGACCTGTTTGAACCCTCTTTCACATTTCACTACTGGCAGCTTTCATGAAGGATTGTGAGGTTGCAAGCGCTGACATCACAAGACAACACCACTACTGCCTGCTGGGCGTCTTCTTGCGCGATGCTGTGCAGTTGCGGCCAGCCCGACGAGCTCCACGGTGACGGGCCCATCGTTGCGAAGATCCACCTGCCTAGTCGAATGGAAAATCCGCAAACAGCCAGGCAGCTGGCAGAGTTTTGTGTCAAAACTCTCTGTCCATGCATCGAAGCCACATGTCCGCACCGAACTCACCTGTCTTCACCAAGCCTTCACCCAGCTCCTGAACGAGACAAGCTGAGTAGTACTTTCCGCCCCCGAGGCTAATTACTGCACTCGTGCACTGACTTCGGCTTTACGGGTACAGCCTCTCCTTCTGGCAGGTGGCGACAAAAGCTTCGTAAACGGGCTTGGCCTGCACAGCTTGAGCGGGTCTGCTCGGCAAGATGTTGGGGCCACCCAACATTTCAAAAAACCGGATTGATCATCCCTCTTGCTGTTCCGAAGCCTCGAAACGTAGCCACACATGCCGTTTTTGAAAGAAACTCCCGGTTTATAATCAGTCAGCAGTCAGCTGCACTGTCTTATGTTCTCTCGCAGTTGGTTGCGTGTCGGTTTCTACATGCTTATGCTACTTGCTGCCCGTGCTGCCCTTTTACTTGGCCATATTGGAACAGGGCACGTCTGTCGCCTGTCCTAGGTGGTGACGAGCTGGGTGATGCTCGGGGGTCCTCCAACTACTAGAAGATCGCGACGACATGACCGTAGCTCACCGTTTTCTGTCCGATTTCCCCTGCAGGAACTGCTGCAGAGGTATTGTACCTGCCTGGAGTTGCTTCCCAACCCTATCAACTCACTGGAGCTCTGACTCGTGACCTCGCGAAGCAACACTGGTCCTGAGCCCTCTCCAATACCGGATGTGTTCCTGCTGACGGCAGTCCCTAGCCCACTAGAGTTGGCCTCGTGCCCGACACCTCTTGACCGCTTACCCTTGGCCTTCAAACGGCCACTTTCCCAATTGGCCAAGTCGTGCATTGCAGGCCTCGCTGGCGCCCATCGCACGATTGAAGTTGGGCTTCGTCCCTTTGAAGGTTGCGAAGAGGGTGAACTGGCTCACGACCTAAGAAGGCATCTCACATTCATATTCGGAGCCCTCACAACCTATCCCAGCTGTCGAGCCAGATGCCAGTACGGAGTAGCTGTTGTCAAGAACCTGAGCTTCATTCAACATGCGAAAGGTCAACAAAGCTTTGCTCCGCAGTTCCGCAGTGGAAGCTACACGCTCCAGCACGATCCGGGATTTGTGGGCTGACAAGAAGGCTCAGCGGAGGACAGAGCTTGCCCAGCTCTTTGAGACATCCCTGCGTGGACTGCTTAAAAAGATCTCACATAAGCGATGCTCAACCCACAGCAGCATCATGGCATGTGACAGTTCAGCAACAGTTGCAGCGTCGGCCTGGGATCAGGCCATAGACGCAACTTCCTTACAGATGAGTCATCTACGCAAAAAGGTACCCGTGGCAATGCTGTCTCAACGACACCCTTCGGTGTTGTACTCAACATCCCAAAAAAAGGCGATAAACAAAATCTGCCAGTGTGTAGACCTAAAGCAATGAAATAACACCCACTATGTCAGACCCTATAGAGTCCCAGGAACCATCTCAGGGTTTTTGGACCTCGAGCGACTTCCACCCTAGGCCCCAAGACATCCCAAAACAGGGCATGTCTTGGCGGGAGAGGGATTCAGTCAAGTTGAACAGCACTAATCAGCATAATTAGCATTTACAATGAATCGCACGGCAACGATTGTGCGCGCCTCAGCACGCACCTCCGTGGACACCGACAACAGACTGTTCACTCCAAGTTGAAACCCACAATGTTGAGCGTTACGGAAAGAGCACAACACTTCAGCATGCTTCTGCCACCCGTCACAACCACTACATAGCTTTGGAGATATGGCACCATTCCACAAACTGCGTGATGAAAATGGACTTGACGGTACAATGTATCGAATCGACCCGAGTGGATAGCCCCGGGCAAAACGGCGAAGGCCCTACTTCAAAGAGGCGTGCAAGCACTGCGAACGCTCACCTATCGGTAGGGGACGTTGATTTTAGGTTTGTCGAAAAGTGTCCAAGTCCATTGGCGCAGCACTCAGACTGGCTGTTTGACGACGCGTTTAATCTCTTTCCTACATTGCAACCAGTGAAGGGTCACTGCCTCACCCGGTCAACGAGAAGGCCAGGTCCCGGACTTGGGACAGAGCCGGCTCAAGCGCTGCTAAAAACTGCGAGCACGCCGAGGACACACGGGGCATGGGCAGCACGGCACGCAGGGGACAGACAAGGCCCCAAAACGCGGCTCCTTGAAAGCCAGCACATGAATCTGTATAAGGTGGGATAAGGGCAGGCTGCAGACTCTCGAGGCAAAACATGCTAGCGGATAACGTCGTCTACTTGATCACAGAGACAAGAGTTCTCAAAAAAAAGCACAGCCGGGACACTAGAGAATCGCCATGACGTCCCACCCATGGGTGTTCAGAAGGCCACTTGGCCAAACGTCAGAGCAGTGAGCAAAAAAGAAATCCTGCTTCATCGACACCAGCAGATTCAGATACAAACCAACAGAACAGACAGCCCCACGTGCCACCCAGGACCGAAGGAACTGGCAACGAAAAGGGCATGTGGGTTCTACGGGAACATCAACTGTAAGCAAAGTTGAACGCATAAAGCAGAGCAGGAACTAGTGGCGCTGATGCCAATGCTCTGATGGCAACCTGCCGCGCACACCTGCATCCGACATGGCATGCTTTTTTGTTTAGCATATATTTCAAAAGTCCAGCGGGACCACCTATTGGGCACAAGGCTCTGTGAAAAGAGTGCCAGAGCGAGACAGATGACAACATTTCGACACAGAGCAATCATCCCAACGCCGGTGGTGTTGCGAATTCCCGATCAAATCAGTGGGAATTTGGCTCAAGCAGCTTGTGCAGTAAGACACTAGAACACTGCTAGAGTCAGAGTTTTCACGGCCGAGCCTACTCCGCAGCGCTTGCTGCGCAGTCTTTTGTTTTTGAGGTTTGGGCTGCCCAGACAGGAGAAGCTTGATGCATGCAGGTGTCAGGGCCTTGGCAGCCAGGCGTTGAGCGAGCTCCACGCTGTCTCCCTTCGTAATGCCCAGCAGAATGACCAGACCTGCATCACGACTTCTCTGACAAGACTGAGTGGCAACCGGGTCCCAACGCACGCCTGGGCCAATGTCGCCTGCCTCCGCGCCCTCCACCATCACAGTGGCACGAGCCACGCGTTGAATTACCAGCTTCATTCGACCGACACAAGAAGCTGGGCATAGCCATATTTAACAAGGCTGAAAGCAAGCTGGGCGAATGTGAACCCGCATGTAGGGATTGGTCACGGCTGCTGTTCACAATTCATTGAACATGTTGCTGCATTTCCGGCTGGGAACCTGAACAGTCTTCAGATGGGACAATCATGAAGGCTTGCAGGCACTCCCTTTGTGGCCGAGGCAGGTGCCCTGTCAGCTGCCATAATGCAGAAGTGCATTGGCTAGGGCCTTGAGCTTTGAAGCCTTGTTCTTCCAGCGCTGTTCACCTCGGAGCATGTGCCGTGGTAATTGAGTGCATGAGTTGCATTGCCGGAGAAGGGTCGCATGGCAAGGAATAGGCGTGGGTGCACACGCCTTACCAGATGGTTGCTTATGGCCTGTGCTGGCAAACACGTCTGTAAGAGCATGACGCTTGACAGCCACCTCCAGTTCCATGTGCAACCTCTCCCAAGGCATGCTCCAATGCATGCACCTTTGTAACCCACGCAATTGCGATCAATACGCCCTCGCCCCTCGCCTTTCGATCAGGTCCTTGAGAGCCTGTGTCGCCACGACCGACCGTGTCACGCAGAAAAGAAATCTCTGGCTCTCTGGCCTGGTTCTCGCGGTGCAGTTCCCATGGCTGCGAAGCATCTACTTGCGAGACCTGGAGCGCCGGTGACAGAAAACTTCCCTCCGCGCTTCCTGTCGACCCTGGTTTTTTGGTGCCTCAGGGGCGAGAACCGGCTCGCTTGCAAGGCCTGCAGCAGTTCACGCCAAGACGGCCGAGGGTGAGAGTGCTTTGGCTGACAGGATTGGTTAACGAGATGTTGAGACTAAAATACTGAACGACTTCTTTCCTTGACTCTCTGGGTGCCTATTGCCGTTGGAAGGCCTGACGATGTTGGGTGATACTTTCCGACAGGGTTGTGCGTTCTCTGGCTCGACTCGCTGCGGCAGTTTTCCGACTCGTGCCTAGGTCAGGACTGTCTCCCGCCTCTGGGCAGGGCCTTTGGAAGGCTTTCTGCGACACCGGGCATTGGCGGCACCGCTCCCACCTGCTCGAAGGCGCGAAAGAATCGAAGCTGCTAGACGGTATCACTGGCCTCTCTGGTCAAGTGAGAGTCATAGGCCGCCTTGACCTGCTTTGCTCACAGCAAGGACGGTTTGTAGCGGCACGACCCACGCTTCAAGGCTTAAGCCCACATTCGTTCTGTGCTTGTTCCGGGCCAAGAAATGCTTGCGGGCGTTTTCGGAGGTAAGGGCCTTGAACAACACTCACGATGGCTGGTCGGGGACAAAGGCAGCAGTCTTGCAGCTTACGTGGAATTTCCACTCTCAGCTGTCGTTGGCACGGCATTTGACGGTCTCAGACAAACTGCTAGCGGCTTGCAAAAATGGCCTGCACTGTGACAAAGCTTCTAGTCGCATGTTCAGGCGGTTTTCCTCGCTGTCAAGCCGAGCCTTTCGCAACAAGGATCCAAACACACGATCGCGTTCAATGACCTGTCACGACAGCCCATGGTCAAATAACCACACGACTTATATTGGATAGAACACAGAAGTAGTGGCCTCTTCAAAGAGGTCACTGTAAATCTTGAGCGACTCTGATGCAGGCTCCTTGCAATATAAGTGTGCTTTGAACACGCGCACTCCTGCCAGTCACAGCCATCAGCTACCAGTTCTGCTGCGCCCGCCTCCTTCCTCGACAGCATTGTCTAAACTGTCCAGAAGCTGTCTCTCGGCCCGTCCTGAGGGTAGAGCTCTGTCGGAACGCCTCACGCGCAACATCAGCATGAAGAGTTCCAGCGGAGATGGATCTGTACTCCAGAGCCGGTCACTGCTACATTGCTGCGTGTTCAGAGCACTCGGCCTCCAAACTGGCTGTAGGCGCTGCCTTGGTATGGCCTGATGGTTCGATCTCCACAGACAGACGGAGAGCGAGGAAAAGATTTGTTTCTGCTTTTCTGGACTTCGGTCGGGTGCTCTGATGCTGCTCGAGCCTTAACCTCCACCTTGTCTTCACCCTGCTTGGCAGGAACTTGCTTGTCAGGCTCGTTTGGGCACTGTCCTTTGCATATTTTGCATTTTTCTAGCCAAAGGTTGCTTCGGCTCCCGGCGATGATGCTGCGGAGCGAGTGGCTGCTCCAGGCGTGGCCTTCAGCTAGAGCTTCCCAGACGCACGGTTTACCGAACAAGACTACAGCGACCTCTCGAGAGCTACAGCGAAGGCAGACGAACTACACTACACGAGCCGGACATGCCTCTCTGTTACTGAAATTTCACGTCCATGCCCTGCCTGTTGCGACCGGTCACGACGAAGCTCAGCTGCGCGCAATAAATATGTATGGGATGTCAGCACGGCGATGTCACCGAACCGATTAGGAGTTACAGTTACAGGTTGACCAACTTGCTGCAATGCACTTGGCATCGATGCTCTTTTACTTGTGATTTGTGATGGCAAACGTGGCACGTTCAAGCTTAATTTCCACTGCTGCATGCGCTCGCCCGACGTACACTTCGGAAGTGTGAAGACCACAGTTAACAACTGTACGGCTAATGATATCTTCGTGTGCGACAGTTCAAGTCCGACAGTTACTCGCATGCCAACGACCATTGATGCCGATCGACTGGATTTCCGTGCTAGCGTTGTTCAAGCTTCAAGCTTCCCCACGCAAGGTCAGCTGTGCTCTTTCGCTGCACTCAACGAGAGATCGAAAACCGAGCTTGTCTGAACCTGAGCGTCGCACGTAGCCGCTGTACGCGTAGCCATACGGGCTGTTGTAGCCATAAGCTCCTGGGACAGGCACTGGAGTTCCAACAGGATATATACTTGTCCAACCTGTTACGAGCACTACATGAAAGTAGCACGTGGCTACAACCATAACAAGGTCAACCGGGAACCCAAAAACCATCCGCAAAGCAAATCTCCCGAGCAGTACTCAGTAACACGAGCGTTTCCTTCCAATTCTAGCATACTTCAGCAGCCCCGCGCCGCACCCCGCATCGCGAGCCGGCCGACGGAACCCTGCGGCGCCCGCACCGCGCCCCAGCGCCGTACCCCGCAAGCTGCCCACCCGCCCGATGAAACCCCGTCTGCACGTCGTGCCGCACTCCGTGTACCCTCCTCGGCCCATCCCGCCCGCGTCGCACCCCGGCGGACCCATTGGACGCCGAAGACTCTAAACGCTGGTGCTCCCACGCCACGCCCCTATCGCGGCCCACACGGTTGGAATATACAAGGAGAACCCAACCCCCGAGGGATTTTGGGACAAAAAGGTGAATATGTACAGAGTGAGAAAACAGAGAGAGAGAGAGAGAGAGAAAAATATATATATATATATGTATATATATATATATATATGGCTCCAGAATGAGTTTAAGTATTTTTGTTGATCCGGTATTATTTGTTTCTTCAAGCAAACTCTAGCATTGGAGGATTCCAGTTTAGGGTTTGCCTGTGCGTGAAGCCATTGCGATACACTACTTTTAAGGATTTGCCTGTACGTCAGTCAAGCTATTGGGGGATTTTGTTGCTGCTGTTGCTTGTCGTGCTGCTGCTGCTGCTGCTG